TAAAATATATACTTGATGATCCCCTACATATTGTGAGGAGTATATACGGAGATATAAGCTGATAATGTCCACGTCAGTTCGATTAGCACTGATACACTACAATCGCGTCAGCTGTAATTGTTAATTGACGAATTGCAAATGACGTATAATTATCTCACGAAGAGACCTAGATGTATACGTCTATTTTCGATACTGTCCTCTATTATTTTTCCTTTGCTTATAGACCCGTTCCACGAACAGTAATTAATGTGAAATGCCCAATCGTTATTATGTGTTAACAAGACCAAATCAGTTTCCAGTTTTAAGAATCTCACGGCCAGTATTACGAGGAGACTGGGACTGTTTATTCAGAATGCTTTAATGTTAACATCCTGCTGAAACAAATCAACATAATTTAAAATGTATTTGATTCTACTATCCCTTAAGTTTTGAGTATAGACTCAACCGTCAAACAAGAAAATAAAATGTCCCAGCCTTGAGGTACGGATGGCTTCAAACAAAGTTTTTTTCTTGTTGATGTTCACTGTGATCATTACGAACAGTTTTCAAATTTGTTTGTGACCTTGAAATATTGGTAGATGTAATGTAATTCCCACCAATTCTTTGGTCAACATGTTATTGTTTTCAAACGCGAGTTGGACATATGAGTGGCTGTCCATGTTTACCGCTTACAACTGTAGATATCACGAATGTTGCTTACGTCAGCTACAAAATGGCGTCGGCATTTGCGAGAAGCGAAGGAAAACAGATTGTGAAACCATAAGTTGGTAAACTGTATTTTGTCCACGTGAAACGGTCATTAAAGATGGTTGTCTCTTTTACATACCGTTATGACGTTTCTGAGTTATTATTTCAATATTATGTAAACATGTTCGATTTACAGGTGACTTGGTGCAGTTTCATGCAGCCTTTTGCAATACTCCAGCTAGCAATATTACCCTTTGGAAAACCAAAATTGGGCTCCGCACATTATACCCACGTGAAGAATATACAAACCAGTCGTCCTAATGACGAGTGAACGTTATCAACCCGTGTATCCGGGTTAGAATTGGTCTTCAGCAAGCCATTCTTGCTGTAAATGGCAACTAACGGGATCGGGTGGTCGGGCTCTCAGACTTGGATGACACATGTCATCGTATCCCAATTGCGTAGTTCGATACTCAAGCTGTTGATCACTGGATTGTCTGGTCCAGACTCTATTATTTACAGACCGCCCCCATATAGCTGGAATACTGCTGAGTGCGGCGTTAAACAACAAACCAACCAACTTAAATACCATCTGGGTGCATTAATGTTTTGCGCCCCAATTTGTATACTGCTATAACATGACCCATAATCACGATGAATCTGCCCGATACAAACCAGATGATGATAACATGAGCGATATGCCGCAATGAAAGCACATAGCACAAGTGCAGTTATACATAAAAATCGTACATGTTAGTTTTGTACTCTTATTAATTGTACGCACCTGTAGGAAATCCGTGTTAGAATAGCCCAACACACAATGTGCAATGTTCAGTTTGGTTACGACGACGAAGATCGTTGCTCTTAATATCGATCACTAGATTATTAACAGGCGGTCGCTAACATAGTTGTGTGTAATATGTCATACATCAAACAATAACAACAGCATTAATTACAGTGAATGTATGTTATTGTTTATTACAACATAATATCACGACAAGGCTGGAAAAGTTTACTGGCTTGGTTCATTAACAGTATCAGTAGGGGCGGTGTGGTAGCCAAGTGGTTAAGGCGTTGGCTTGTCACGCTGAAGACTCTGGGTTGATTCACCACATGGACACAATGTGTGAAGCTCATTTCTGGTGCCCGCCGGGATATTGCTGAAATATTGGCGTAAAAAAACAACTCACTCACTAATCCACTGTATCAGTATAGGCGATTGTATGTGTTAATTCCTTTATTTATTTATTTATTTATTTATTTATTTATTTGTCCTTTTCGTTGCTAACCTCTATGCAGACCGCTTCGGTCTAGTGGGTAAAGGTCAGAGTTAGATCTGCGTTATAAGACGTTAAATATGGTACTTCTTGTTACCCTGCCTGTGGTGGATAAAAGACTGGTCGGCTTGGAATCAGTATATTGAGTGGGGTATCCATGTAAAACTGCTACACATCATCTCAGCGGCGAGCCGGATAATTACGCACACACCCACGTAGCTATATAGGAGGAAACCCATCTTCACCACTCCTTGAATTGACCTTTGTTAACCAAAGACATCAGCATGTGACGCTACTACACCAACCCAATCTGTTGTATTCTGTGAACGCCAGTAAGTCTGTAGTTTGTGTGATACTTGACTACAATCAATATGCATTTGGTTGATCTGAAACGTTATTGTGTCATGTGGAAGTATAATGAAATTCTATGCATCGGACATGCAAATGGCATCACATTGTTTATAGCCAGGTCATCCCATGCGGTCAATGAGTATTAGAGACCAACCAAATGCAATCCACATATTCATCTAAAATTTATCAGACCGAAAGCTGACGATAGTTACCGGAAATTACCGATCTCAACCTGCAACGTAATCTAGTTTCTTTGCACGGGTTTAAACGTAAGCTGTTTGGTGGTGATGCGGTATTACAAGGTCAAACAGGTTCTGTTACTTCGCATCTTCCATTAACATTGCATCTGGCCCAGAATCCCCTCAGTGACATTATCTTGGGTCGCATATACATTATATAATGTTATGGAAATGTCAGCGATCATGTCATTCATTACTATAATCACGAAGGACCCTGACGTTCAACAGGAGTGTCTATATATTGTTTACAATAGTCTGCCCTTGTGTTTTAGTCCATATAAATATATTGTAAAGCAAAACGGCTGGGGGCACCGTTTCATACTATGACAGGTACTTACCACTTTGCGCAGAGGTATTCCAGATGTATCGATGTGGCCAGTAAATAATTCAGTCGGGGTCAAACAAACCAGAGGGTGATGTTATGAACAACGTCCCACGCCGCTGGGTTACGGTGACATACAGTGAGCCGAGCAAATCACGACACGTCATTTGGAACAGTTCTATATCCCAATGTTGGTAGGTAATGGCTGTATTAAAGGTTAGAAATGATATGCCTTGGTGACTTTTTGTTGTAACGTATACTTTTCAGATCAGTACAATAAATGTGCAAATGTTGTGATTAATACCCTATAAACAAAAGGGTATGTCTATACTGTGTCGTGTCTATACTACATACTGTAAAATAGATGTCTAACATACAGATACATCTATGTCACAGTACAGATATTGTTCAACGTTACAATGCATCATGGCGTATAGAAAACAAGCTATTTTTAGTTAAAACAGCAAGCCTGTAATGTATAGTTTTAGATGTGTATTAAATGTCTTGATCTTTTACATTGATTTTAGTTCTAATGAATTTTTTAAACAGTGAAATGAAATAAAATCTACCTGGTGTCTCGACACACAAAATCTGCGATGTATCCTGACAAACAAAATCTGCCAGGTGTCCCGACACACATAATCTACCATGCAGGTGTCCCGACACACATAATCTACCATGTAGGTGTCCCGACACACATAATCAACCATGCAGGTGTCCCGACACACATAATCTACCATGCAGGTGTCCCGACACATATAATCTACCATGTAAGTGTTCCGACACACATAATCTACCATGCAGGTGTTCCGACACACATAATCTACCATGCAGGTGTCCCGACACACATAATCTACCATGCAGGTGTCCCGACAAACATAATCTACCATGCAGGTGTCCCGACACACATAATCTACCATGTAGGTGTCCCGACACACATAATCTACCATGCAGGTGTATCCGACACACATAATCTACCATGCAGGTGTTCCGACACACATAATCTACCATGCAGGTGTTCCGACACACATAATCTACCATGCAGGTGTCCCGACACACATAATCTACCATGCAGGTGTCCCGACACACATAATCTACCATGCAGGTGTTCCGACACACATAATCTACCATGCAGGTGTTCCGACACACATAATCTACCATGCAGGTGTTCCGACACACATAATCTACCATGTAGGTGTTCCGACACACATAATCTACCATGCAGGTAATAATCTACCATGCAGGTGTCCCGACACACATAATCTACCATGTAGGTGTCCCGACACACATAATCTACCATGCAGGTGTCCCGACACACATAATCTACCATGCAGGTGTCCCGACACACATAATCTACCATGCAGGTGTCCCGACACACATAATCTACCATGCAGGTGTATCCGACACACATAATCTACCATGTAGGTGTCCCGACACACATAATCTACCATGCAGGTGTCCCGACAAACATAATCTACCATGCAGGTGTCCCGACACATATAATCTACCATGTAGGTGTTCCGACACACATAATCAACCATGCAGGTGTTCCGACACACATAATCTACCATGCAGGTGTCCCGACACACATAATCTACCATGCATGTGTCACGACACACATAATCTACCAAGCAGGTGTCCCGACACATATAATCTACCATGCAGGTGTCCTAACACACACAAACTACCTGATGTTCCAAAATACAAAATCTACAAGACGTCGAGTCACACAACGCACAAAATCTACAAGGTGTGACAAAGCACACAATTTACCACGTGTAACAATGTGCAAAATCTGTCAGGTGTTACAACGCAAAAAATCTACCAGGTATCCCAATGTGCAAAGTCTACCAGGTGTCCTGACACACAAACGCCATCATCTGTTCTGACAAATCGATCAACCAGTGTACCATAACGTATTAAATGTACCAAATTGTATGACACACTAAATCAACCAGGTGACCCGACTGACTATACGTCACGGGCGTGGAGACAATTATTCTACCAGATATCATGATACACGTTCATAGTGCCCCTACCTCACAGTCGTTTCTCTCAACAAGGGTTGGGAATATTGGGGGCCTACTTTATCCCGGAATCCCCCAGTAGTGAGTCTTGCCATACCTGAATACCTTGCGGTTGGAGGCTCCGATCATATACCCATGCAAGCTGACTAAGCTGAATCCAAACACGTCATATGGCATCCATATCAACTTGAACTGAATCATCCAGATATATAGAGGGATTAATGTATCAATGGCAGAAATATGTCTCCAGCACCACACTTATCAGTGTTTTACAGTGAAACGTGCTTTAGCTCAGCCATGCAGCTTCCACGCTGTGTTGATAAAAGATTGGTCTCGGTCAATGTTGTATTAAACAGGATGCAGATTTGATATTGTGACACCGTATGTGCATAGTAACAGCTGTAACTTTCCCAGCTGGCGAGGGCGTGGTTCAACATGCAGGGTGAATACAGTTGCTACGGGCAGTATTGTTACTAATTATAATCACGGTGGTTTGCATGGCGACTGAATCTCCCGACTCAGCATAAATTCTTATATGCCGCTTCCTTGGTGTGTATTTTGATCAGGAGCAGACACATCACGGGTTAAACCATTCTTTCCGTTGTCATATGCAAACACTTCTTATAGGTTGTGCATATTTTAGTTGCAGTGAAGTGACTTAAAAGTTGTTGTCGTTGAGTTGCCGCTGTTGTCGTTACACGCTAACCACAGCCAGTGTAATCAATGCTGTTCAATGATCCATTATATATTTTTAACCACTATGTTGCTTTTTACGCCTATGGGAATCTTTTGGCAGATAATCGACTGATTATTATTTGGTTATTCATATTTAATAAATCTCCAAAGCAATAACAGTTTTCTCCAATTTCAATGCAAAATACCTTGTAAACTCATAGATGGAGCTGAGTAGACAAGGTTCACTTGATCAAAGACACGGTATCCAGGGTTAATTTGGCTGCCTGGAAAGGTGTGTTTTAACGAAAAACAAACGCATTTGTTTGGCCTCACATGAAGCGTAAATCACAACAAGAACTACTCTGATGTTCAAATATATGTAACGTTACCAGTCGGGAAAATCAATATTAGCATAACACACAATGTTGCTTTTATTTTTCCACTGAGAACTTATCAGCTGCATACTAGTTACAACAAAGGAAAGATTATCGGCTCTTCTTCATTTAGAGTGCTTTGATTGCTGTTCTTTAATCACTTATATACAATGAGATAATCGAAATCACTCAGTAGGTATGGGAGTTAATTCCATTAGTTTTCAATGATGTTGTGGATTGCCTGCCCATAGTAGTCTCTTTTAACAGGATGATTCCGTGGACTGACATCAATACCAGATGCACCTTCCCGGTATAAGAAGGGTACAGCGGCCATACACGATGAGATGAGGACACGTTAACAATAGTCTGCTATAGTCCCCATTAGTGGGTAGGTTCAATCCCTACATCAGCCAGGGGAGTAGCTACCATTATGAACAAAAGCCCGGGCTTACACATGATTGTTGGTAAAACGGATGGGCAATACTATCTAAATATAAACCTTTGCAACCTATCGGGCTTACACGAAAACATTGGCTTGCTACTCGCCTGTCAGCACAATAAGAGAATGACAAAATGGGAGGAGGGGGTTTCATTGCTTTGCTTTATAACGTCTCTGATTTGTGAGTGAGTGAGTTCATTTTTACGCAGCACTCAGCAATATTCCAGCTATATGGCGGCGGTCTGTAGATAATGGAGTCTGGACCAGACAATCCAGGGATCAACAGCATGAATTGGGATACGGTGACATCTCTGGTTTGTCTTTATGGTTATAACACTGAATAAATGACACGTGTTTACTCAGCTTCGTTTCACTCAGCATTCACCTGATGAAGGAGCAAGCATTAGCTCTGAAAAATAGAAAGACGCTGTTATCCATAAAAACGTGTCATGTATTCATGTTCGTCCACCTTCTAAATGCCTTTGGAATTGGTAATAGAACTGGTAACGTACGGGAACCTAATTCCTTTGTGGCAAAGCAAGGTCATGTGTAGTTACAGCTCTATGAGTGTTGTGCTATAGTGTAGTCATTACTCCATCCATGTCGCCTGACCTTTTATAAGACAAGTTCAGACAATTCAAACCGATGGTCGACAGCATAAACAAAGACTGACGCCATTGGGATACGTTGATACACAAACAGGAAGGTTACACATACCCGATTATCCAGTGTGTAATATCTCTATTCTGACCCAATGGACATATATACACGTGGAATAAAGTATCGCAACATCTAATAAACACCTCTTGAAAATTGCAATATAACAACATGAAAAACAATAACATGCTAGCAGGTAACAAGTGTGGAACATATGAAACACTTACACCCCTCATGTCATGAAAATACAGTTTCAATTATCATTCACTCTTGTTAGAAAACTGAGCTAAAACGCATACTTATCTTATACCACTCTTTGGCACCCCCTCAACTAACGTCAGCCAAAAGATGGCAAGTTATAGGTATGGTTAATGCCGGGTTGTCCATGAGACAAAATGCCAGGCAATTAGGTCACCAACCCTCAACAGTCAGTCGATTAGCGAGGAAATATCACCAAACAAACGATGTAAATGATATGCATCCTTCAGACAGACCACGAATGATACCAGCTGGTTAAGACGAAGTCCTACATAGACTTGTTCGGCTAGTTCCCTTTGCACCCAGTCCAATGTTAAAACGGCAAAGGCTTCCACATCAGCATCTGCGTCATAAAACTGTAAGAAATCGACTGAGAACAACTGGGTCCAGGAGACCTGTCCGTTGACCTTTGTTGACACGTACCCACGTGGATGCAAGATTACGGTGGCGCCGTGACCCGCATCGCATCGGTGGAACCTGGCTTCTTGGAGGAAGAGCCATTTTTCAGACGAGAGCTGGGTTTTGCTGTTTGTTACTGATGGAAAGACGCGTGAATGGCGACAGAGGAACATGACATATGCTCAAAGGAATCTGGAAGAGGTTCCATTCTGCCGAGGATCCTTGATGGTAGGAGGCTGTGTGTGTATGACTGCAAACCTGAGCTTGTCACAGAGAGATGAAATGTGGAAGGACAAAGATGCCAAGAGGAAATCTTGAGGAGGTATGTAGTACCTCATTTTGATAATTATCCCCCATTAACAAGGCCAATCTTTATGGATGAACTCAAGGCCACATCGCGCACGCGCAGTCATTGATTCCCTGCATCAAGACGTTACCACCTTTCCATGTCCAACCAGAAGCAGTGATTTAAACCCTGTCGAGCATGTTTGGGACATTCTGGGGCGTAAGGTTCGTCAGAGAGATCAACCAGTCCAGAATATTGATGAATTAGAGCAAACATTGCACCAAGAATGGATCAGGTTGCCCCAGCATTGGATTCAGCGTCTTGTGCATTCAATGACGACGGGGTTCTAAACATCGCCAGGTGGGCGGAGGTTACACAAGATACTGTTTCTTCTGTTTTTCAATCTAGAGACCGTATTTGTGGATCGGGTGTATGAATTAGGACTATGCATCGTGCTACCCATTTGGGCTGACCATACTTTTATTGACTCATTATGTTATCTTAATTTCAGATTTATTACAAACAGTATTACAGATATTCTTGGCTTTTGTTTTAACGTCTTTTTAGCATGTTGGCTTCAAAACATTTTCCTGTGAATACGCATGACGTATAAACTGTGATCAAATATAGGTCCTGTCATAACCTTAGGAGGTTGCGATACTTTCTTCCATCTGTATATATTCCATTAAGGCACCAAACCAAGGAATCTTAAACTTCTATTGACTTATGTTGATATATTTCATATCGGAAGAAGGCTCATATTCTATTTATCATCCAGAAAAGATCTTTCTTTTGGCTGGTTTAGTTCATAAACAATAATAATGAGCGCCTGAAGTGTAAAAAGTGCAGTTAATCAGCTTCAGTAAGAGATATTACCGATGTCATTTGATTCTGGCACAATGGTAACCAATGATGCCACAATGGTACAGAAAGCACCAGATGCACTTATATGGTTGATATTTCCAGAAGATATCCCTTGTTGTCACCCAACCAATGCTTCCAGCATAAGTCAGTTTTGGATCTATGTATCTATCTCTCTTATAGATGAATTTTGATAAGACTGCTGAGAGCCTCTGTCTTCATCTCTGCAACACTAGAACAGTGTAGGCATTGTAATCAAAAAGCCTAAATAAAGAAATCATGCCCCAGTTAGTGTGTTTTTATGGTTGATACTGAAATACAAAGAACCCTATGCCATACCAGTTACAATGGGTTTACACAGTGAGCACAGTGTATATGCAGAAATAGTCAGTGATCTTGCTAGACTGACTGACTGACTGAGTTTGGTTTTACGCCACTTTTAGCAATATTCCAGCAACATCACGGCGGGGGACACCAGAAATGGGCTTCACACATTGTACCCATGTGGGGATTCTAACCCGGATCTTCGGAGTGACGAGCCAACGCTTTAACCACTAGGCTACCCCACCACCCCTCTTGCTAGACTGATTCTATGGACCACATCTAAGGACTGTTAGCAGCCAATCCTCATTTTGGGTTGGATGAGCATGGGGTTCCGACTATCTATTCCAAACTTCAATTTCCATTAGAATAAACTGTTAGTACTCAACATGATGATGTTGTCATATCCCTAATCTGTATTTAATACATGTCCTTTTAATGCTAGTTGTCAATATTCAAACTTTATCATGATCCCGATCCTGAGGGGTGCAGGGTGTGCAACAACACCCCACCCACCCACCCCTTGAAAGTTTATTAAATGACCATTGACACTCTCGTGAAAGCAGATGAAAATGAACTGTGCACCCCCTCTTTCTCAAAAAGCTGTATCTGCCCTTGATGGCAGTATGTAAATAATCAAGTGAGGCCAAGAGTGAGTGAGTTTAGTTTTACGCCGCACTCAGCAATATCCCCGCTATATGGCGGCGGTCTGTAAATCATCGAGTCTGGACCAGACAATCCAGTGCTCAACAGCATGAGCATCGATCTGCGCAATTGGGAACCGATGACGATGACGTGGCGACCAAGCCAGCGAGCCTGACCACCCGATCCTGTTAGTCAAGAAAAACCAGCGGTTGATATGTGCCATGTTATCAAAGTTCATCAATCCAGTCACTGATAAAATGTGTAGTGACCCAACTCATGGGGTACGAATATACTATGACACAACCTCAACCAAATCACCCAACATGAGTACCACAATCCACATACATGTATCCATCTATCAAAGGGAGACAACTTTTGAATACAACAAATCTGTCTGATGTAGAGCAAAAGAAAATATTTCAAACACTGAATAATCCATGTGATTCGCACATTTATTTGATGTTAGTTGTCAAACTCTATAGTATTACCTCTCTTGACATCACTGTGTAAATATTCAAGTTTGGACCAATCAATCCTGTGACATACAGTCTGGTATGACATTAAGTACCCTCTTCAACCAGCCTGATTGACTGATATTATAAGGAGTGAATGTGAGTGAGTGAGTTTAGTTTAATTTTACGCCACACTCACCAATATTCCAGCTATACGGAGGCTGACTGTAAATAATCAAGTCTGGACCAGACAATCCAGTGATCAACAGCATGAGCATCGATCTATGCAATTGGGATATGATGGCGTGTGTCAACCAGATCCTGTTAGTTGCCTCTTACGACTAGCATGGGTTACTGAAGATCAAATTCTAACCCACATCTTCACGGATAGATATTATAAGGAAGACACCATGCCATCAGGCTGCTATAAAACACATTCAACCAAACCACAGTCTGAGCACCCAATCCTTCAGTCACCTTGTAAGGTAAGCATAGTTTGCTGGAGGCTTATTTGAACCAAGAATGGCTCAAAATATTCTTTAAAAAATCAATGGTGATGAAAGTACCCACTCCTCGCATAGTTTCTAAAGGTTGTAGAGACCATTCATATTTCAGTTTGGAAGTAACAACGAAGCACTGGTCAGATGATAAACAAGGGCAACATCATATTCAGTTTTCAATAACTTTACTAGCAGACATTCTATATACACACAGGCTGACACTGTTGTTGGAGTACCATCTCGGCTGATCACTGCGCACACACCACATAGTTCTAGTTGTATATTTTCTTATTTGGGTCCACATCAGATGTTCGCACAACTGGAAAATAAGGATCAACATAATAAGTGTACCTGTGCAGCCAGTTTTGTTTGGTTAAAAGATTAAGCCTAAAACTGTTGTGTCAAGCTCATAGATGATGCAATTATTGTGTGCAACTGAGACTTTGTTTCTCTGTAATCACCAGCTGCTACAACAATATCACAAACTTCAGCAGAAGTCATGCAGATTAGGAAAGACTTGAATTGAAATTCGGAAATTGAAACAAGGGGTGGACATTATTGGTATATTAGTCTGTGACTGAACTTCAGCATGGACACAATTCTACCTAAAATTAAGTTATGTTACTGGAATGTTCTGGTCACAAAAGAGTTTGGACTGACTAGGCATATCATATGGCTGTCTCTAACCAGGCTGGCCCCTGTTTAAGTCAATATCTCAGCATAATAGTGTTCTTGGGAAGTAACTAAGATGTTTCACCTGACATTAGTTATTATATTTTTGAAATTTGACAGCTCTGGAAAAGGTAACCAAGGGAGACAACTCTACATAGAGTCTAATCCAAGTGAAGCGCTTGAATTTTCACAAATTATTTTAGTGAGATGCTAAAATTTAAATAGCCAATTCATTTATAATATGCTACAGAAACTAATTTGCTCTTAAACACGAACACTGGTTCATTAGTCTGACAGCAGCAAAAAATCAAGAAGGAATGTTTTTTTACTCTGAAATCTAATTGGTTTACAGAAACCTGTGACAAGCTGATTGTGACCATTAGTGGTTCCACTACACTAAATCAGTATCACATGCTCCCTGCGTGTGACCCGTATGTAAACAAGTCAAGAGAGACAGAGACATGTGACAGCTGTGATTGGATGAAATAGTGTAAGATGTTTGTTTTTTAAAAGCACATCCAACCAGTAATTAAAACTGACCACAATTTTAAGTATTTAATGCTGTCATTTTTATCACCATCACTTATGCTTATTGTGTGTACAGATATTTTCCAGTAGGTGACATTTGGTGCGGAACTGGGGTTGATGTGTTCCGCTTCCTGTGCTCGCAAAACGAGCCGGACAAGTTGGCCAGATATTGTGTTTTTATGGTAGTTTAAAGGCCAGAGTGTACCCATGTGTACATGGAATGGCTGTTGATAGCCTGTCTATTTTTTAAAAAATTATAAGGTTACTATAGAAGTCTATGGGAAAACATTAGGTGGTGTGTAACCTAGTGTCCACTCCTTGTAACAAATTGACATGGTTAACATGAACAATTATGACAGTGGCTTAAAAGCTATCAAATCTTGACCACACATTCCATGATATATTATGAGCAATATTCACAACACACACCAATAGCCTGAACACATGTCCATATAGCTGCTTCTCCAGAAATAATGTGAAAACGTTGATGTCACATGGCCTTTAGGTTTCAGCTTTACCTGTATAAGTGTATCTATGTTGATGTGCAGACTCAGTATCTCTTAAATACATGGTGGCTCCAAGTCCAAATGAAGCTAGGCCTGTAAATAATAAGACATTAAAGAGGTAACGCTAGTCAATAAATATGTCCAATCATTAATAGGATACCGTACGTTACTGTAGATAAGCCAAACTTTGAAGACCAAAAGGATAGCAGCCTGTAGAGGGGGGGTCAGCTTATCTACAGGTAACACTTTCGTCAAACTTCCTTTCTGGTGACCAGTAAGATAACGACATCATATCATTTCGTTATGAACAAACAAGAGGTGGTCTGAGTTGGCCGCGATTAGGACCCCATCGTGTGTGTGTGTGTGTGTGTGTTGTGAGTTGTTTTTTATTTCCTATTACCGTATCATATTTTGCTGCACCATACTCCCAACACATGACCAATCACTAAATGATTACATTACATGTATATGTTTATATTAATAAAATTAAAAAAGAATAGAACCATCACTTGTTGATAAATTGTTTGACACCTCTACATGAAAATATAACAAAAAGGACTATTACCAGTCTTACATGTAGAAAGGGTTTCAAAAGGGAGAAATGCAGTATAAGCATTATACGTTACTTTACCGCATCTATGACCTGATATACGTACCAAATGCACACATGGCTATTGAACCAACCACTTCTGGAATTTCATGCCAGCCTCTTTTGATGAGAGATATGCCTAGTCAACAACACAAAAGACATACATGTACAAAATGTTTGACTGAGACTGCAAGTCTGAGACTGCAACTTTGTATGGCTTACACCACTGCACTGAGTCGGCTACCAAACTGGCACAATGACAATGTATCTCAAATAACTTCCATTTTACATTACTATTTATGAGTAATATTTCCATGTTGATGTCCATTTCTTATGTTTATCAAATCCGTTGATAATTTAAGCACAATAGATCAGTGTCACATGAGCCAAGGGTTGGCAAGTTGGCTATGGAAAACCTGACGCCTTGCCAAAATATGTGGATTTACATGGCTTACAAAAAGTAAGTTACCTAATGTTATAATTAAAGTTCAAATATTAATTGTACTCGACTGAAACAACACAGAAACCTATTTAGTTTTATTGTATTGGTTAATGACCAATAGAGTCGAAAATAAGACAACCAGTCAAAATCCTTTGGTAAATGAGCTCAGAGCATAATATTTCAAGGTGAAACTACAACTTTGTGATTGGACCCCTAGCCTAGGCCTTGATCTAAGGCGTTTGCAAAAGTGCCACTTATTATTATGGTGTGCATTTATGACAGTATGCTTGTTTCCATCTCTGTATGTTTGAACAAACTTCTTAAACATGGTTAAATCGTCACGATCGTATTAATAAGTTACCTTTCGTTGCACCCCGAGTGGCCATTTTGATGGTCATGCGCACTTCCACAGGAAATGGATCGTTCGGCTTTTAATCGGCTATTTTCGGCATAGTGACTGATACGGAAACTTTTTTGAGGATGTTCCGAATGCAAAACGGAAGTGTTAACAAAACATGGCGGCGCCCATGCATGATTTTAGTCAGCATGATCAGAAATCTAAGAAACCCTGTAGAACGTGCACAGACTTTACAACATGGATGAAAATACAAGGCAAAACGCCTAAAAAGGTTAGCATAGCGTGTAAAACGATACAATTGAGATGTGACAATGTAGGCTGTAGGCATGACTCGGTCATAAATTTCATCATGCAAATTGCAATTGTGACACCTGATGAAAGAGCAAGAATTACACCTCTGAAAAATAGAAAAGAAGTTATTATCCATAAAAAACGTATCATGTATTAATTGTGATAGCTGCCCTGAATTATTAATCATGATCATTTGTATATTCTTTGTGTATGTATTTTTATAAGACAGGCTCTCGGCAACATGAAACTGTGAACAGTTTATAGATGTAAGCCGTTTCAGCCTTACATTAGAATTGTTTACACTGTACATCACCACAAATCCTTTGGAGAATAGAACATTGGAATGACTTAACTGACATGTTTATATTCATGGAGAGAAGATGATCAACATCGGGCAGTCCCAGATTATAGCAGGAGAGCAACATCACCCATGTACCCGCACGAATACATCCACTGGTCTGTCATGCCACATCTGAATTAGCAGCTATTTGGGGTAGTTTTTGAGAAAGAAATGTATATTACCAGCTCCAGTTAACATGGTTAACAAATCCCAGTAAATTCAATTCAGAAGAATCGGTCACTGTCAGAAATGTGTTAAAGTCTAGTTAAACTTATAGAAACTCATCTTCCTGAGTCAAGTGCATTCACATTACTATATCATGGTCAAGTTCCAGTCTCAACATTGCAGGCCTTCTTTTCTGTGCAATAATGAGAGCACATATTGATAGTCCAATTAGACAATGTTTTAGAAAAAATGTTCTGATAACATGACGGCTGCCAAGGTAACAGTATCCCTGTACTTTCATATTGACTTGTCAGTACACAGAGCTGTGGGCTGTTTTGATTTGTTTTCATAGCACTGTGGAAGAGCAAATAGTTTGGGGTTTAGCGACTTGTCCATAACAAAATTGTTTGTAGGGTGCATCACAAAACTTTCGTTATATCAGTTACAAGTAGGTCTAAGAATGAAGAAATTTATTGATTTAGTGAATGTTAAGTCAACATGAATGTCAATCAGCATCATAAACTGTACTTCTGTCAATTTCATTCAAGTATATTTCAACAATATAAAAGTCTTGATTAACCTCAAGAGAGCATGCTGAAGCGGGGTATACTTGGTCACTAGCTATTTTCATCACATGGTCACAGTACCCCTAAGTCAAGACAACTAAACAGAATAGTATAATTACCCCGCAAATTTCTTCATTAATTAAGGTTATTTAGTGAAAGAACAATTTTTGGCGATCACCACATAATCCAACATATGTTATCAAACAAACATTTAACATGTGTCAAAGTGATGACAACTGAGGCCAGCCCTGATAAGTTGTTCATTGAACTATGCTTATACATGCAATGAAATTTGGAATTCAGCCAACAATTTTGTGCCAAATTTTACTTATCAGAGTGCCCTGTATATCATTTGATGATTCAGTTAGACATGTTTTTGTCTGATGGGAATGACAGAGACTTCATCAACAGCTGGTCCTTTTGTTCACTTTACCAAAGTACTCGATTCTGTAAATATACCCTCCAACAACTAGAATAGTATAATTACCCCAAAAAGGTTATTTAGTGAAAGAACTATTCTAAACATATGTTATAACACATGTTAAAGTGATGTAGACTATTAATTGAACTGCAGCCTTCACTTGTCAGCAGAGTGCCCTCTATCGTGAGTCCATCACAACATCAGCAGATCACAACATCAGCAGAAAGAGATGAAGGACTTCATGCATCTCTTCTCAAAGTACTATCCTTGTGACTACTGTGCAGAAGACCTCAGGCAAAAGTAAAAGACCTACCTAATATACAGAAAATCTCTTAGAATGTCCTTTGATAGGAAATATTTCAATACATGCCCATAAAAGATTTAGACTTTGAAGCTTGAGAAGGAGTTTTTAACTTTTATTGATTGTTGTTAAAAGACATGAAAATGAGATTCTGTGTATTATCCAAAACAGTTCTTTTAAAATAAACTGTTTTCAGTTTGTAATTAGTAATTAGCAGTGTCCTGAGTGTAAAAAGTAAACAGATTCAGTGGTAGAGAGACATGTGTATCAGGTGGTCAGTTCCATGTTTGATAGCATGTCATTTTACCCCAACATCATGGTTTGTTGTTCACATTATCAATCACTAGATCATGTGATCCAGATGCAAGTACACATATACATGTAGTAGTATATGTAGGTCACTATCCTAAAACCTTTATGTTGCAGAGTGCAGCATCAAACATGACAAATTTGTTTTCCTTCTTTTCTCAGCCTGAAGACAAACACTCCTGATACAAGCAACAGACATCAGTTTTCACAGTGGCTGTGTCGTCTTCATAATGATGTAAACCGCAAACTTGGGAAACCAGAATTTGATTGTAGACGTGTCGATGAGCGATGGAAAGATGGATGGAAAGATGGGTCATGTGGTTGACAAAGTACAGATCTAGGTTCTTCTAAAACAGTGTGTTTGAACTGTTGAGCGTGATTGTGGTCTGGGTCATTAATGAACCATCAGCTTAATACCTGTAGCAGGTAAAGTTACTATTGATTAGTAAGATGTGTATTCGGATACCAGCAAGATGTGACTTTGAATCGTAGGCAAGTCTATAATGGAAATAACAACTGTATCAGTTATCCTTATACAATTAGAAGCAGCTCCTTCAGGTTTAAAACGTCTGTTATGCTGAACATCTCTATTCACATCTTCACCGTCATTCATGTTTGGTATATACTTCTCAAAGTAGTAAAAGAACACCCATTGTTCATGTGGTCTTGCAACACAAATACTTCCAGTGTTTTATTAGCTTTCTCTGAGCAGAATAGGTGAAAACTAATGTGTTATTGTTTCAGTTATTACAGAGAACAGAGAACAGATGGTTGTTTTTTAACCTTAAACTTAATTTTTTTTTATGCTTCATTGATATTCTTCCTGTAAAGTTCTATTGATTAACTTCAAATAAGAATAACTTTTAAGTTCATATGTAGTGCCCTTCAATGATATGTTAAGCAGAAGTTTTAGTCGCTGTGATAGTCCCAATGTGATTGGATTACATTATATTCCATTTTTTGTGACAGTCATCTGTGCTGAATATGTTGCAAGGAATTCAAAATGTACTTTGTTTGTCATGTGTTAGCATGTAAATGCCTTTTTATATACACTTGTTACTGAAAACAGTAATAAAAATTGTGTCTATGTTTTTTAATTTGATTCCACAATGTAACATTTACCTGAAGCTAGTGATGGATGACACTGAAAACATAAATCTTTGCTCGTTCTAATAAAAAAGCATCGACCAGACCAGGAGGAAAAAAAATAATATAAAATGACCATGTCAAAGTAATATTCCTTCTAAATGCTAAAAGTATTTTACATTTGGGAATTTATGAAGTGTATATGGGCCAAAAAACAATCTAAAAGAAGTTTTCTTGTAAGTTTACATTTTTGGCCAATAAAAACATTAGGATTTTTCTTTTTGAGCGGAGAAAATTAAGGTTTTTTTCTTATTCTTGAAAATATACGACCGCTGGATCCGTAAAACAAGAAATAAAATTGGTCTGGCCTAGATATTTACCTGAGAAACCAACATGATCATGGCAATCATCTATTCAAAGCCATAGGCTTGGATTTTTGACATGGCCAAGGGACACAACTCTGCACAGTGAACTGCAGCATGGTAGGCTATTGGGTCATCCATGCTCCCTGTGGTCAGCTATTACTTCATTTTGTTTAAACTCTTCTAAAGGATACAGTCAATCTCTAGGTCCAGTGGATAGATGTCAGCCCAGAGAGCGGAAGGTTCACGGTTTGACAGGGTTGCCACAGATGACGAGAGTTCAAATTCCCTGACTTATCTCTGACCAGTTTGATTTTTCACTGATCAAAATTAGAAGAAAACAAATAAAATTTCAGCCTCCAACCACCCATACAGCCGACCTTTCCACCTATTTTACTTAAGACAAAGTAATCATATGTAATCAACCAAATACAGAGATCCATCTAACATCAAGATGACCTCTGGCAAACCCTGACATAAGAGTTTTGAATTATTTTTTTATTTCAATGTTTTTATTGTCAAAAAGTCACTGTTACAAGATTGAGGATCACCTCCTGGCTCCAGGAAAAGGGTGACTCACATTTGTACAGTATGAAATCTTACCGGTAGAAAGTTTGACATTTTCTAAAAAAAAACTCATTCACTCTCACATTCATGCTAATCCTGCTGTGAGTTTAAAATAAGCTGCTAGCTTTTCTCTGTGTCTGCTTTTCACTTATACTTTGGCTGAATTAATTGAAAAGTGGATGATAGAATGCAAACTTTGTGTAAACTTTATTGAGTTTATTTCTGCTTGAGAAACTAATTGTCTCAATAGAATATCTCTGTTCACACACTTTCTCAAAACGATCAATGTGTGGTTTTACCCCTTGACACCAACATTTATACACAAAGAATATAGCCATTGATAGTACGAGGTCAAAAACAGTATCTGTGACAGTATTTGAGTCACACCCAAATATAACAAGTTCAGCAGAGAGCTTCAGATTGAATATTTGGTCACATTTCTGTGTCAACCATCCATGGAACATATTCCAAAATATGTCTACAAATGGAAACTGCCAAAACAAGTAAATTAACGTTCATAATACCAATCTCTGAACAAAAACACATTTAATACAGACAAGGAACTCAAAATCATACAATCGTTGCCTCTGTGAAGTCTGAAAAGAACTAGTTTTCCCTGACCAAAGGCAATTTTCCCTGACTTTTTTCCAAAACTTCAATTTTCACTGTCTGGTAACAAACTTCCCTGATCTTGAAAAAATAATTTCTTCCCTGACCTGTGGCAACCCTGTTTGATCCCCTGGCCATTTCATACCCATAAATGGTACTTGTTACCCTGTCTGCAACTTAACGCCTCACCTTCCCCGGGCCGTGGGGTAGCCGTGTGGTTATGGCTCTCGCTCGTCACACCAAATACCTGGGTTTGATTCTCCACACGGGCACAATGTGTGAAGCCCATTTCTGGTGTCCCCCGCCATGATATTGCTGGAATGTTGTTAAAAGCCACATAAAACTAAACTCATTCACCTCACTCATTAAATAAATAAGTCATGTATGTTTGATGTATTTATTTTAAAAGTATTAAGTTACAAATTGAGCATTTTCAAGACTTAACAAAATAAAATCCATGTTGGAAGTGAACACAATTTGTACAAAATCATACATAGCTTGACCTGTACTTGAGAACCAGTTGTCCTCCATACATGGTTTTCTGACCAGCAAACATGGGGCAGGTTATGGGATGAAGCAGGCCAATGAAAACAGCTGTTACACATCAGCATCTTCACATGGCATTTGCACAGCACCCTTTGAATCATTATGTTTCCGATGACAAGTATGGTAGCCAAATGATTTCAGAAACTTTTGAAAAACAATCTTACTTGATATATGTACAGATGATTCATCACAACTGGTTTTTTAATACAGGGAATATCAACCAAGTCTTGTTAAATCGGTAGTTGCACAGCCTTTGGCGATAAATTACAAAATCCATTATTGGAATCGGTGCAAACCACATTCTAAACATGCTAAAATTCAAAGCAGTCTTAGTGCTAACTCTAACATACATAGACTTAAGATGGTCGTAGTGCTAAGGTTGCTTTGTGCAAGTGGGCCCAGATCTTTTACTCTGATTCCAACCTCTCTGCATATACAATTGTCAAACCCGGCAGGTCAGAACAGGTGTAAACTCTTATTATAATGAACAAATAAATGGCAGCTTTCTTAAAGAACTTTGCTTTATTTCATTATCTAAATTAAAATAGCAAAACCTCAGAACACAAACGTTCCCTTGACTGTAAACTGTTGAGTGAGTGGATTGCGCTCAGAAAAAGCAGTGCACATAAAACATTCACCTGTATAGCCCAGCCTAAAGATCTTCCCATTTGGAACTGTTCATTATATTTTTCAGGTATGTTTTGTATCACGTACATAGAACCTCATTGATTGACTGACTAGAATGTTGACCTGAAGAGACCTGTAGAGGGTTTCAAATCTTGACAGATTAAAGGTGTTGAATCAGAGTAAATGATCTGATTTCAATGAGATTTTAGCAACACTTGAATTCATATTACAACTATACAAAATAATAGGTTAGAAAGGTTATTAAAGAAATGATATAACACATGAGGCAGTTACTATGGATAATTAGTGATCAGTATTTGAGCAAGTTGAGAAATACTGTGCCTTATTTTGAGAAATTTGATTGCATACCTGACATTTATGAAACAAACTGCTTTTCCGTACATGTCCTACATGTACCGTAATGAGTTAGTATACTTATATTTATAAGATATACATGTATTGATCACCTTGTTCAAATCATCTAACTTAAAGGTACATTTGAATATCTTAATTAGGCCAGACCAATTTTATTTCTTGTTTTACGGATTCAGCCTGTCATATTTTTTCAAGAATAAGAAAAAAAAAAAAATTAATTTTCCCCGCTCAAAAAATAAAATCCTGATTGTTTTGTGGGTCAAAAATGTAAACTTACAAGAAAACTTCTTTTAGATTGTTTTTCCCCATATACACTTCATAAATTGCCAAAAGTAAAATACTTCGAGTATTTAGAAGGAATATTACTTTGACTGGTGATTTTATTTTTTTTTATTTTCCCTCCTGCATTTAGGTTTTCTGAGGACAAAAATCCGTAAAACAAGAAATAAAATTGGTCTGGCCTTATAGGTTTGCATGATTCCCACAGGTTTAAAAAAGACATGTAATTCAATTGTTTGCCTTGAAAAATCCTTAAATCTGTTTTGGTTTGAATAGGGCAAAATTGTAAACAATAGGTATATAATTTTCTTGGATTGAATATGACGAATTGTGTTTAAAGTTAAGTTTTTCCTACAGCTCTGTTTATGAATGGTTGAAAGTGATTCTGTTAATGTACTATGGTGAAAAACAGCCTGGAAATGACTTCAATGAGGTGTTGATTGGAACCCTGCATGAGACTGTATTGATGGAGTAGTTAGATACCCTGTGATAACCATGATAACCTGGTACGTTACAATAAACTGCCCTCCTGATAATCTACATCATGACTAGGTCATCGTACTTTGCTACTCGGGGTCGTTCCACAAAGCGATGCCAGGACCACAGTGATCATAACTCCCATGTTTAACATAGACTTCAGACAGCTGTAGCAGTAGGACTGCCTTATGGAACGACACCCAGCTCATCTATGTCTAAAATACTATAGAACATTGTTACTTAGAATGCATGAGACAGGCAGTTGAAATTATGAAATGTAATTAACAAATCTCCATATTTGAAGAAATACATCTTCCTTGTTTACCATGTTATGATATAATAATGATGGTGAAAGATTAATCTGTACAAGTATCACTAAAGTATAAACTGACACAGGACAGTTATTGTTGGATTAAGCTAACTAGGATGGACTGCATGTTGTTTGTAATGGAGTAGGTGAGGATTCAATAGTATTAAGCAGCATGTACTGACATGAATGTTCAAACCATTTAATTACAAGTTAAGTACATCATACCTTACATATATCAGTTTATTTACAGGATGGTCTGGCTTTTTGGTGGAGCTTGCAGATTTAACGTAACATTTTATGGTGGTTATTGTGTGTTTGCTGTTTGTGTAACACCCCAAAGAGCAATATTTGAGCAAATTACAGCGGTCTGTAAATACATGTAATCCAGCCTGGACCTGACTGTCTAGTGATTGACATCATGAGCATCGATCTACACAACTAGGATACTATCACATGTATCAACAAAGTCAGCGAGCTTGACCAGATGCTGCTGTTAGCTGCCTTTTACGACAAGCACGGGTTGCTGAAGACCAGTTCTAACCCAGATCTTCATGGGTGCATTTTACTGCAGGAAATCATTCACCAAGTTGACACTGGTGCAAAGAAGTCTAATAAATAGTACTTTGCTTCTGTAAATATTTTACCATAATGGATTTAACTTTGTATTTAGAAAACATTTCCATATGTTGGTGTGCTAATCTATTCATGAATAGATTAGTGCACTTACATTTTTCACTCATCATATTTAAACTTGAGAGACATTCTATTAATGACATCACACATCGCTATGTTAGCAATGAGATGGCATCACTGGACCATAATCAACACAGACCACATGTACTAAATTGGGCTTGGATTCTCTTCTTGTTTGATACTTAACAACCTGTCTTTGCTATTTTGAGTTTTAGTCTTATAATTCTCTGATTCATCTCTCTATATCCGCAACAGATAGGGTCAAATGCAAGTAAATTGATGGAATTGGGGATTGGGTTGAACTGAGCAATGTTAGCAGTTGTATCAGTTCATTGGTGATGTATGTAATGGTCTACCCTGAAATTGGTTTCTGGAACTGAACTCTTGAGTGTTGAAGGCTGCAGTAAGTTGTAAGTCTATGTGTAACAGTACCAGAAAAAACTGTAAGTGTGTAATGCACTGTAGGAATGTATGGGCCCATTTCCACAAACTTTCTCGGGATCATCTATATCTGAATGTCACCGTGCTGGGGAATGTTGTCAGACAGATGTGTGTTTTGGCATTTCTGGACAACAGAAAGGTGGGAAAGAGTTAGTAGTGGTAATGTGATAGACTTGGGAATTCATATTTAATAACTGGTCCAGATGACTAATGCTAATCTTATTTCAAGGTTCTCCAGAGTTTGTAGCTAGTCCTGTTTGGAAAAGACAAAACTGTTACCCATTTTTACATTGTCTGTCAAATGTACATTGTCAATTACATTCCAGTTGGAAGCATTTGGAACAGGATATGAATTTTTGCCCACAAATACTTGTCATTGAGGACTACCATCACTGGATGTGTCCTTAGTGTTTGTACTTTGGCTAGTGGACTAGCATGAATTTCCAGACTGTTTGCAACAGCTCAACTTGAAGGATATACTCAGTACAGCACACCTACCCATGTTGACATTGCAAAAATAATTTGAACACAGTGGCCACAAAAGTGGCCAAAAAACAACGTCAGACGTATGTCTGTACAGAGAAGGGGGAACTGTATCTTCCAGTATTAAACTGCGTAGTCATCCTCAAAGTTTCAGTGACCCTTGTACAGTCTATGAACTATGTGTACAATGAACCCCCAATGAGGACATATTACTGCCATGAGATCCCTTCTTGCTGTGGGTGTCCCCCCCTCTGCTAGCTGCCCCTCCCAGATCTACATCAGCTGAGTTACAGGCAAACTGTAGCACTACAGTTTGCCTGTGACTGAGTTATTTCCCCAGGTCGACTGTCTCCTGTTCCACATGCTCCACTGCCCCCCGGCGTACAAGTTGCGGACGTAGAGATCCCCGCCTTTGTCTGTCTGATATGTCAGTCTCACTCACATCCTGGATATCCTGAAAGAACCATAAGTGTAAGGAGGAATGTATGGTCTGTTGCCCTTTAGGGGAGAATTGCACACATTTCGAAATGGGTCTTCAATCATGACTGACCAAGACTCACAACAGCTACTTCCATTATTAAACTTAAAAGCGACAGTCACTCTCCTGTACCAAAGTGGCTAGTCTTACTTTGGAGACGAGATGAATGAATAGCCCTGACTCATTGTTGACCATCATTAGGTGATCACAGTAGACACCACTTCAACAAAGCATACTTCTTTGACATTACAGTGGCTATGATAAACAAACTAACAGTCTTCAGTTAACGGATCAGTGCAGATTCCTGGAGCATGTTCCACATCATTCTTAACCCAGAGGTTATTGTGACTCATATTTTAACAGGACAATTGTATAGCTTAGACTCCTTATTGAAACAAGGTCCAGGACTAGGAGCCACTATGATAATTACTCCAGATAGGTATTTTTTCTTGTGGTGGAACATTGAAGAGAATGTGTGTAAATGGAAGGCAATTAGACTTGTCAATCACTGCCATTGTCTAAAATATTTCTGTACAAAGGAGTTACACAGGTGAACCAGTCATGCATGGCACTGCAATTCACTTTACCATTTCATTCCTTGGGATCACCTGAAACCTATCATTGTGGGTTCAATTCCCAGTTATTACATTTTGGGGTTTTCAGCACGATGCCTGTGTGCTGTTGAGTTTCAACCATCTGAGATTTTCATCACTTCAGGTTTTTCACGCTTATTCAGCTGACATGCCATGATTCCACTGGCATACTGCTCAGAGTGGGGCTAGACCAATCACTCACTCAATCACTTCAACACAGAGAAGACTTACCATTTTTTCCACATCACAGAATGGGCTTGGTGGTTCAGTCTCTGGAGTTGGTAGGATTATTTTCTCTACAGGGGAAGATAAAATCAATTTAGTTCATATACCAAACATGTTTAAATACTATTTTTCAGACATTTACTTAATGGTGAGTGGTATTTTAGGTGAGTAAAGTAGGCAGTTGAGTATGCGCTTGTAAACCCATGCTGACAGCCAAGAATGATCCATGGTCAGAGATATGTTGACAGGTGGGTCACGCATTGCCACCATAGATCCTGGTTGAAGTAGGCCATCTGGATAAGTTATCCAGCACGATATAATGCATGTCTGTGTACATCTATGCATTCATTGGTCACCTACAAAGGTAGCTCTCACGATAATGTGGATATTGCAAGCTGTAACTTTAACTGAAACACTGGTGTCAACATATAAAAAGATAACTTTATCCTTAACACGAGCCATCATTCAAGATGTAAAAGGTGACTAACGGGATCGGGTGGCCAGGCTCGTTGACTTAGTTGACACATGTCATCGTATTCCAAATATCATGATGCTGATCACTGGATTGTCAGGTCAAGACTTGATTATTTAAAGGCCACCCCCATATAGCTGAAATATTGCCCAGTGCGGCTTTGAACAACCAACCATCATTCAAGAATTTCGAATGTCTGTGTGAAGCAGCACCCCTCATTATAGCTCGAGTAAGTATAGTATGGCCAGATCTGACTCATTGTCATTGGTTTTGTACATGACATGCAGCCGGGGTCACTTACTTTGTACATAAATCTTGGTGTGTGTGTGCGTGCATGCGTGTGTGCGTTTCATTCACATTGTACATGCTTCTCCATAAAAATCCCCATCACATCCCCTAGCCATAAACGGTTCCTTAATGAAACATGCCTGTATTTTACCAAGGATACAGCTGTACCATTGATAAAAATGGGCATATGGAAGTGCTAATAGGCACATAATATGGACATACATTGTATGAAAGAACTGAATGTAACATGATGTGATCCTGATCATGGTAATTAGCTGGTACAGCTGTATTAAAAAAAATTTTATTACTGTTTCTGCATTGCCTCATAGAAAAGGATATTAGATTCCTTCATTTTGGTAGAATTGACACTGACCTGCTTCATCATCCAACTCGGGACATGTGGTGGACACCTGACCAGTCTCTTGCACCCCTGACCATGGAAGGAAGTCAGAATTAACAGTGGAACATCATGCACATTTATACACAGAACATGCACGCAACGGAATTAAACACCTCCAGTCTGAAAGTTGGCACAAAATATTTCTTTTTAACTGTAAATTAATAATATTTTGACAAAAGAAACATACAGGCAACTGACACTGACAAAATATTTAGCAAACAGAAACAAAGTAAAAACTAACGAAAACACAATATTCCGTGTAATACTACCCACCACCATTTTCTCCTATCATGTGCAGACGCTCATAGCTGTCAATCGTTGCCCGGATGTTGTCGATGACGCTTTCACAGAGCCTCCTAATCTTCTTGGGATCCTCTGGGACCGGCGCCTTGCACGACCTCGTCACCACCGAGCTGTACTCCATCTCGTCCTGCTTGTGGCTGATCTCAAGGTCAATCTTGCTCTTCATCTCCTTGGCATCTCTGAGGACGGGCAGTAGCTTCCCCTTGAGTTCCTCGCCCAGCTGCCAAATGGTAGGAGCTGTCATTCTGCCAGTAAAGGATGTCAATGCACCTTATCGTTAACCTGAAAATGTGATGATTAAAGGTGTTTGTTTGGTTGGACATTCGTATGTTAAGATGTAAAGTCTATGGTGTCTAAGCCCGGAATCGATTTGGACGTTTCAGAATCATTCAACTGACACACGTGAATACCCGGAATATTCATCGTCCTCAAAACATATTTAACTTCTTTGAGTGGCATTTCAGAAGTTGGGAAGTAAAATATAGAACAAACTTTATGGATAACAACTTCTTTTATTCAAGCAGGAATGACAACGGTACATGAATATGTTTCGAAACGTCGCACTCGCGATTCGCGAATAAAAGACGTTGTTATCCATAAAGTTTGTTCTATATAAAACGTAAACATGCCACCCCAAAAGAAACTGAAGAACACTCGATTCATTCATATTGCTAAAGTTCACGTGTTAAGGCGTGAAAAATGACTTATAGTGGTATGAAAGAACCGGATGTTTTGACACACACCAAGAATGGACATATTCAGTCAAGATTTCAATCCCAGTTAAGATGTTCAATGCAAAGTCCACTGTCATGTGTTGGTTGCTGGTCCCGCTGAACAGTCGTAGTCAGTCACAGGCCTGGCGTTTCTTACGATCCACGTGTACGTCGATATAATAGTTGTAGCAGATACAACTGTTATAAAACTTAATAGTGCTGTCTCTTTCAAATGTTCCAACCAAGAACGTTGCATTCCTCATTCCATGAACCGAAACCGTTAGGAGTCCGGTTTCAAGGATTTCCACACTCCTAATGATGCTCGACTTAGGTGGTTATGTTCGATGACCTGGCTGTAATCTTACCATTCGTCACCACTCGTCCATTTCCGTAAATCGGGAGTCCGTAAATCCCAGATGAACACGAGATGGTCTCGTATGTTTGATTGATTGTTTTTTAGTTTAATGCCGCACTCAGTAGTTTTCCAGCTATACGGCGGCGGTCTATAAATAATTGAGTCTTGACCAGACAATCCAGTGATTACCAGCATGAGCATCGATCTACACAATTGGGATACACTGACATGTGTCAACCAAATCAGGTAGCCTGACCACCAAAACCCGTGAGTCGCCTCTTACGACAAACATGGACTGCTGAAGGCGTCGGCCAGCAGATCCCCAATTCCCAGTGTGTAGTGAACAATATTTATGTCCATGAATTTTTAAAAAAATAAATGTCGTAAAAAGCGTTCTTAGCGCTAGGAGATCATAACTCCCATAACACAGACTTGTGACAGTCCCATCGCTAAGGTAGCTTTGTGTACGTGACTTAATATGGTTTTACGCCGCCTTTTCCAGACATGGGCGTCACATAGAACCCATGTGGGAATTGAACCCGGGTCTTCGGCGTGACAAGCCAACGCTTTAACCACTAGGCTACCCCACCACCCCATGCTTTGTGTAAATTCACCCTGGTGCGCTTCTATTCACTAGATACTGTGTGTTTCTACACAGCCAACATACGACACGTGTCCAACGCTGAGCTTCCAGCGGCAGTGATATAATATGGCTATGGAGATCGAAGACGGATATAGGGCAACTACACATGTAAACACTTGAACTACAGCATGTTCCACTATAAAGAGCACTCCTGAATATAACCTACTAACACAGTTAGTTAAACCTTCTTAGTTTTACTACATGCGTTAACAAGATGATACTGATATAGTTCGAAATCCTACCTTCTCCGTAGAATGCCAGCGATATTTTATTCGTAATGCATACAAGACAAAGCTATCGGCCGCCTCAGGCTAGGGGATTCCCCTTTTCGATTTGTTGACGTGCAACTGTTGGCTCGAGTCTGTAAACAGGGTGCGCGTTACCCATAGAGTGTAGGAAAATAAACATGATGTTTGCTAATCCATATGCATACAGTAACTAAACTTTGACCTATGTATCCTGCAACGAAATCGTGATTGGCTAAGAATAGTTTCTTCTGCATATGATACTAAAAATAGATAGCAATGTGTACCAATGTTTTGTTTCTGGTTAAAGTTCAAGTCGATTGACGTCAGAGCTGACGTCAAAGGGTCTATTAATAGCATTCACTTTTCACATATCACAAAAGCTAATCTGAAGGAGATATAGTGCTCCCGGCGTAATCAGTGTGCCGTTGTATATAAATACACACATGAATAAACACGGTTTTGACACGACCCTTGACATGGTTGTATAGTGTTCACAGAAGGCTGCAAGGCTATCTGCTATAAGGGGCTGTTACTCCTCTTTCAATGGCTACTTGTTACAGTCATTCTCGATTATCAAACATATTATATCTGAGTTATGTCATGGTTAACATGCCGGGGGTTATCATACACTGGATAATCCAGTCTTACAGACAACATATTCTGACGTACATGTAGTTTTTGCAGCATGTAATTAACAATAAGTAATAATAATTGTTATCCACTGCGAGGGACAGAGAGGGAACTCTAATAGACACTAACTTGAATATAAATCAGGGTATATATCCTGTACGCGTAAACATCGTAATGGTTAAGAATCCATTTGAAGTACACATATATATTTTCATTCCTGAAGGTAATAACTTCAAGTGTAGGAGTACTTTTGAAACGTGCATTTTAGACATTTTAATTAACTGTCATCCTCGTCGTTAAATTTAGGAATGTGTAGAAATAGCAAATTGAGAGATATTTCGATCAAAGCAAATGTCTCGTCCAGGAAACATCCCATTACTGGTATGTCCCGCTTCACAGAATGCCTATAACTACCTCGAGGGATGAGTGAGTGAGTGAGTGTTGCTTTACGCAGCTTTTATTCCAGCAATATCAGGGCGGGGGACACCAGAAATGGGCTTCACACATTGTACCCATGTGGGGAATCGAACTCGTGTCTTCAGCGTGACAAGCGAACGCTTTAACCATTAGGCTACCCCACCGCCCCTCGTGGGATGTATTCGTACAGGTGGTATCATATACTATAAGTGAATCACTCTCATGGTGTCATTCAATACACAAGGGAATCAGGGATAAATTTACATCTATGTTGAATGAGTGGTTGGTTTTAACGCAGGGTTAAAATATTTGTGTTTTAAATAACGATTCTATATTTTAATGATTATTAACGGTATGTATACACCACTGTGTTTTGTAAACTGCGCACCTGATGAAGGAGTGAGTGAGCGAGTGTCGTTTTACGCCGTTTAGGCAATAATTCCAGCAATATCACGGCGGGGGACACCAGAAAATGGGCTTCACACATTCTACCCATGTCGGGAATCGAACCCGGGTCTTCAGCGTGTCGAGCGAACGCTTTAGCCACTAGGCCGCCCCCTCGCTACTTCCCCCCACCCCCACCCCGACGATGAAGGAGAAAGCATACACTCCGAAACGCCGTGTTATTCATAATAAAGAAGTTGACATCCATGGATCTTGCTTTTCTTATTGTATGCATCGTCGTATTCTATTCTGAATATGTGCTTCGACATTTTACGCCTCACATCATGCTAAAGTCTGTTTGCAGTGAAAACGTACCGATGAATTTCAATTTAAACAAAAATGTAAATCAAATAAAGTGAAATTAAGATTGCGAATCCTCATAAGTTTACCTTTAGGAGATAAAAATCATGTGTTGGCCAGTTTCCGGGTGTTATTGAGTATTTGAAGCACGGGAATTCATTTGGAACCGACGGCGTCAGCCGGAGGTTTCAAATGGAATATTCGAGGTTCCAAATGAATTCCCGTGCTTCTAATACTCAATAACACCCGGAAATTGGCCAACACATGATGTTTATCGACATTGTAAACACAAAAGTAAACCAAAAGGTCCACACACGTTTTTGTGTCTGCACTCATTGACATAGAGTACGGGTACAGCAGTGCAATGTCATCAACCGGCCGTTTCGGCTGTCTCCCAAGGTAGCATCTAGAATAAGCTGGTTCCCGGCTCCCTTTGCGCGCGCTAACGTTCGACAAAGCTAGATATGCGAGACGGGGCCCAGAGCATCTAGAACTGCTCATTTGTGACGTCATTCGGACTTTACGTCACAATATGATTTGAATGACGTCATCTCAGCTGACGACGTAACAATACAATGGTGTGAGCGATGTTTGTATGTATATGATACGCAGCGAATTTCCGGGAATCGAATACCATTTGATCACGTTTTTCAACCAATCAGATTAGAGAACACAGTGACTTTTGGTTTACAATGCCATTTGAACGTTTAAATCTGAGAATTTCATTCAACTTAGGATAAAAGTTGTTTAACAAACGATCATAGTTTCAAATTGTTATTATTGGTTTGTATTACACGGGGGTATGCACATTAAATGAAACACCGAGAACAAGAGAGTTGGTCCAAGTTAACGCTCATCACGTACCGCACGTGCATTTGTTTCACTTTTCCAACTACTGCGCTTACCCCTTTGTAATACAAACCCGTAATAGCGATTTGAAACTATGATCGTTTGTTAAACAACTTTTATCTTAAACTGAAAAAAAATTCTGAATTTTAAATGTTCAAATGGCAAGGTAAAATTATGAGGATTCGCAATTTTAATTTCACTTCTTTTGATTGACATTTTTGTTCAAAGTGAAATTCATCGGTACGTTTTCACTGCAAACAGACTATACCTTGACATGAATACTGTACAAGCGCGTGGAACAGAGATTCATGTGAGACCGGTTCACGGATGTAACTAAACATAAATCTGGTTGCTGGGCTGTTCCTAATTATCGGGACCACTATCGTCATGAAATGTGGACGCCGTCTTCAGTCGTAAAGTCATGCCTTTCTTACATTTGCGTAAATATTAAGATATTCGCAATACCAAGATCAATACATCGTAATAATGCTTACTGTGGTAACTATACCCCATTTTAACCCAACAGATTGGTGGAACACGTACATATGTCGTATATATCCTGAGTGAATACTAACGTTCATGCCGTTTCAACAATGTGGAGAATTTTCAGGTTGAGTGAGTGAGTGAGTTTAGTTTTACGCCACACTCAGCAATATTCCAGCTATATGGCAGCGGTCTGTAAATAATCGAGTCTGGACCAGAAAATCCAGTGATCAACAGCATGAGCATCGATCTGAACAATTGGGAACTGATGACATGTGTCAACCAAGCAAGCGAGCCTGACCACCCGATCTCGTTAGTCGCCTCTTACGACAAGCATAGTCGCCTTCTGTGACAAGCATGGGTTGCTGAAGACCTATTCTACCCCGGATCTTCACGGGTCATTTTCAGGTTGAAACTTGACAGAATAACTACAGTAACATGAAAGAACCCATTGTTCATTCTGAGTAGTAGATATTGTTACAACTGATTCTTACAACCAAGCCTGATATTAAACACAGGAAAAGGGGAACATTGAAGAACGATGCCTGTATAGTCAGATGGAAAGAAGAATTTTTGTTTCCGGTTGTTTTGTTAATAAGCTGAAGTACTAACAGCATTTCTGCTTCGCGGTCGATTATGACCAAGTGACAATATATTTTCTTACTGTACTACAGTATTAAAACGCAATTCCGATAAAACAGTGTATTTCATATAAAGCTCATAATTCGTTTTGATAACGAGCACGTGATAAATCATCAGTATATCAACGGAAAAGATCACATACAAGTTCACAAAGGAAACGAACAGAGTGTCATGGCACTATATGGCAATGGCGGGGGGTCCAATAATATCGGTAGTGAAAGCTGTGCTTCAACTGACGCTGCGGCTATCTGCTCACATTCTGGTATCAGCCCCACATGGCATAGGCGGATCCAGGAATTGTGGGGGGGGGAGGAGACATTAACTTTAATGTGGTCTTTAGTAGTCATTTTCAACAACAAAATGGGGCGAACCCCCGAAACAACACCCGCCCACCCGTCCTAGGGTAAAAATGTGTGAAGCCCATTTCTGGTGTCCCCCGCCATATCATTGCTGGAACATTGCTAAAAACGGCGTAAAAGTAAACTCACTAACTCTGGTATCAGCATTGTTACTTGCAGTCACGAGCTTCGCAAGTGCTGTAAACGGATGTTCCGGGCGTGACTGACGTCATGAATCACGACTTGACATGAGTGAGTTTAGTTTTACTCCGCTTCTAGCAATAACCCAGCAATAGCACGGCGGGGTACACGTGAAATGGGCTTTACACGTTGTACCTATGCAGGAATTATAACCCGGGTCTTCGGCGTGACGAGCGAACGCTTTAACCACTAGGCTACCCCACCGCCCCGTCACATTTCAACCCCAAGCACCCAGGGGATCAATGTTTCTGTCATTTCCTTCCATGACAGGGTTGATCACTGGATTGTTTGGTCCAGACTCGACCATTTACAGACCGCCGCCATATAGCTGGAATATTGCTGAGAACAGAAACCACATACCAACAAACAATCCATGACAAGGCTAGGCTCATCTCATGACAGGGCTAGGTTCATCTCATGACACGGCTAGGTTCATCTCATGACAGGGCTAGGCTCATCTCATGACACGGCTAGGTTCATCTCATGACACGGCTAGGTTCATCTCATGACAGGGCTAGGCTCATCTCATGACAGGGCTAGGTTCATCTCATGACAGGGCTAGGTTCATCTCATGACAGGGCTAGGTTCATCTCATGACACGGCTAGGTTCATCTCATGACATGATATTGCCGTAACAACACGATTCCCTTATAAAGCTGGCTGGTATATGAGGTAGGCGAGACGGATGTAAATTCTCGCTGTCGTTGCATCACATCATATCCTCTTGGGCTACTTTGCATTCCTTTCCCCTTTCTTGTTTTACATTAGTAGCCTACTAGTGCTGCGGCTACTATTGTTGTAAATTCCATATTAATATTACTTCAGCTGTTGTTTCTACTGCTTCTGTCCTGTATTGCCACTACTGCCAGGGGCGTAGCAACCATTATAAAAAAAGCCCGGGCTTACTCAAGATTGTTGCTAAAAGGGTGGGCAAGCCCTCAATACTGTCTAAATATGAAGCTTTCCAACCTGTCGGGCTTACACGAAACATTTGACTTGCTACGCGCCTGACTACTACTACCGATACTGATATATACTATTATTGTGGCTACTATACTACAGTACTTCTTTTATTACCTCTAGAAATGGTACCGATATTTCACACCTTTAATTATATTTAAAACATGCAACAAGCTTAAGAAATAATGCATTGAAAAATATTATATATCCAAATTGATGTAATACTGCATGTAACACCTGACTGTGTGAGTTACTGTATGTATTGTATACTCCGTATGTGGGCCGGAGGCCTAAAATTAAATAAACCTCCTCTACTATACTACTGTTGATGACCGCCTCCGTGGTGTAGTGGTGAGAGCGTCCGCCCGGAGAGCGGAAGCTCGTGGGTTCGATCCCCGACCGCGTCATACCAAAAGACGTTAAAATATGGTACTTGTTGGTCCCTGACTGGCGCTCGGCATTAATGGGTACAAGAAGAACTGGTCGGCTCGGAGTCAGTATAATGTGTCTGAGTGGGGTATTCATGCTTCACTGCGGCATGTTATCTCAGTGGGCTAGCACTATAAAACCAGCTTCAGTCTGGGCTAGTACAAGCAGCCGCACATACACATACACACGCATGCACGTCGTCCTATGAGCGAAATATTCTCAAGTACGACGTAAAACCCAATTTCACCTCACCTCACTACTGTTGATAGCTACTGTCGCCACTAACTACTACTACTACTACTACTGATGATAGCTACTGTCGCCACTAACACAACTACTCGTCTACTGCTACTACCACTCCAGAAAATTAACTTCGTCTACTAACAATGACCTTAAAATGATGAAGGCTGGAAAGATGTTTGAGTTCAATGTCAAAACGCAAACACACACGTCTAGGCCAATTGGAAGACTTGTAATAAGGTTTGCGTATTATTTTGGACATACTTCCGGTAATAAACCAACACACCGTGATATAACTGAAATAAAAAGCGGCACTAACGCCACTCACTCACTCACTTTGGCATGCTTAGATATAATGCACTCATTGGTATTTGACTGTTGACATTATTCACTTCCAAAAACAGGCCTCCCCTAAGTAGATACTCTATCACGAGCCATTCCAACTCCACCACCGACGCCAATCATCATCCATCCCCTAAACTGATACATCCGCTAAACTGTCCATGATATTACAAAGCTCGGTCACATTTGTTTAAAGTTCAAAGGATACTTGCAAAGTTCATACACATTCCATAAAAAGGGTTTGTGAAATTGAAAGCCTACTGCAGTAGAAGCTTCAAACGAGATCATATGTTTCTGTTTTTTTGTGAGTTCTTGAAGACAACTGAATACTGTGAGACTAAAGAAAGTTGTCTCCAGAAATTACATAATTTTATTGTCATTGGTAATCAAACAAAGAAACCTCCAGTTTCTGCATGCAACCTGCCGATGACTTGCCCTAACAAATGTACCTACTAATTTATTGGTACATGATACCGGAAACGATACAAATGTTACTACTACACTACACTGTAGTTCGCGAATATATCTCAGTTTATCTTAAACAACATCAGAACGGGTCTTTTTTAAGTGAATGAGTTGTGTTTTACACCGCCTCCAGCAATGGGGTCTTTGTTTAAAGAACATCGTGAAATAAATCCGGCTACAAAGTACAGTCTAAGTAAACTTAGGCTCAGTATTATTCGTTACACTATACTGTGAGCCTAAGTTTACTTAGACTGCCAAACAGTATCATTTAGTAATCTAAAATTTGGATTATAATCGTAGGCGCAGCGATCAACGTTAACTTTGCTTGTGCACGTGTTCACCTCACAGACAATATACGGACGAAATTCAGCATCCTCATCAACTTCCATATCAGTTCCTTCTTTGAACTACAACATCGTGATGTAACGGAAATACAGAAACAGCTCACTCACTCATAATTCTCACCACAACACTCCATTGTTGGGCAATAGATTGGTGTGCCGCAGGCCCGCACAATGAACCTGAGTAAGGTAGTAATAAATTTCACTGTCACTATCAAGCAACATGACGCCCTGTTGCATGACGGTGTTTCCGAACAATGGAACACTCTGTCCAATAACGATTGGGAGCTTTTAAACGACATTATTAAGGAGTTTAGTGTCACATTCGATATATCCAGCTGACCTAAATATAGTTCTCATGACCCACGTCGCAGATCTGGTTATGTCAGTGCCTGGTCGATTGACGTTTGGTTAATCGATAACGAAAGGAATAAATACAAACACGTTCGATCTCACCCGATACCATCACCACAAGTGACCTAAATATACCTGATATTGGAGTTGCAAAATCAAACGAAGATCCATCGAGTTCAACAGATATGTCTACACGCATCAGCGACTTTCAGGTCTAGTCTGACTTTATAATAGTCTGATCTCTCATTTCACATGGTGAGGTATGTCACGTCATTTGAAAACATGTCATTTATACACATTCTAATTTGACATATCTATTTCACATTTATGATAATGTCACAAATAAACAACTGATGACACTCACTGCTTATGGGCATGCAGGAACACTTGACTATATATTCCAACACTGTACTTCAGCGTAAGCTTGTTTCCGTATGAATCTTCACACGTGAAACCACAAAACTATTCAAGGTCAGAGGTCATGTAGTCACGTGGCTTCTCTCCTGACGCGTTGTGTCGCGAATGGGTGTGGTCACATCGGCTCGCAGGACTGATACACGTAAAATGGCAACGTCCGGACTGCAACGAGTCGATTATAATGACAATACAATCCAAATTTCACTTCATCGTGTATTACAAACTTTCGTCCATTTCGGGAGGATTGCATAAGGGTAGCACTCGCCTACCCAGAATTCCCTGCTGTCAGCAAAATAACATGTTATGATAAGTTATCATTGCCCCGGAGTAGGTTGCAGTAGGTTGGTTTTCAACCAGTCAGGACCGACCCGGAATTTTATGAATGAATGAAACTGTTGAGGCGTTATCACGAATTCATTGAGTGTTCAAAGGAAAGGGGAGTGTTCAAAGGAAAGAGGAAACACCGTACTCATGGCCCAGCACAAGGTTGTATGTTCATTCAGTACGAGAGGGATTTTCCTTATATTAAAGTGCGATGTTTTCATGGTGCATCCTCTGATTAGATTAGATCCCTAGCAACCCATTTCCTGTAACAGTTGTAAGACTGAATTGATCAGGAGGCCAGGCCTGTAATCTGGTTGACAGGAGATTATCCCAGCAAACACATAACATTTCCAAACATTTTCATTAGGTTTCAAAATAATGTTTTTATAAATACTTTCGTCAAAACGTTTCCGTAACGTTATAAATATGTTTCACAAGGATTTAAAATGTTTTTGAAATGTATTTTAAATGTTATTAAAAAACAGCATGCGGTAACATTGGTGAAACTATTTGACAACATATTATTGAAATGTTTTTAAAACGCTGAAGAGATGTTATGCAAGAACATATTTAATGAAATATTGTCATGTTTCAAATGATTGTGGACATACTTGCCAAATCATACAAATAAGGTTCAAATGTCTCAAAGCTACTGAAAATCTTACTGAAATATTTTCCAAATGTTATTAAAAAACATCATGTTGGGTGAAACTATTTCACAACATATTATTGAAATGTTTTCAAAACGCTGCAGAAATGTATGCAGACAGAGGTAATATTAACAAGCACTGGTTTATCAAATTGGATTATTTAAAGACTCCCACATACAGTATCCAATGTATCATGTCGTCATGCTGATAGTGATCTGAGGTAAAATGAAGATTTTATACACGAAGTAACCCACAGCACACATGTCCACATATATTTCATTTACGTCACATAGCTGTACATCTTCAAGAATATATACAAACATAAGACTTAGTACAGGAGGAATATAATACGACTCATATTTAGTTCTAAGAGACGATTATACACATACACTCACACATAAGCAAGAGAGTATATATATGCGCATTATTCTATCCATATATACATATATAATAACACTGAAGTTGAAGCACAACACACACAACGGATCATAGGCTCCATAGCATAGCTCCCACCCGGACATACATATTATGTGTTGTGACAAAATCCCTTCACCTTATTGAACATAGCCAAATGTTCACAAATGTGGACGAGGTATTCAGCGACACAACTGATATTGACTTGAATGAATTATGATTGATGTATATACAAGAATATATCACATTCCGGTAGATATACACAAGACCAACTGTATGTCAAACGAACCCAAATTAATAGTGGTTGTGGTATATTGTGAACCTCAGTAGTCACAGCCTTACCCTCTCGGAGTAAACCTGCTGTCGTCTCCGAGCAACCAAAGCCAAGGTCACTTGAGTCCCGTCATGCATTACGTCATAATTATAAACAGTTTAAAATTAATACTATTGCCAGTGTTCATAATACCTTATTTTGCCATTACGATAATAGAAAAATGTGGCTGGCCACCAGCTAGCTTGTAACACAATTTTAACTTAATCTATGGATAATAATCGACGTTTAACAACATGAAATGGTCAGTCCTCAATTCTCTTGGACACTCTATTCGTCGTGCTCCGTGTGTTCTGTGGGTACACTTTGTCGTGCATGTCCGTCTCGCAGGGTCAGTCTGTTGCTGCGGGCTGCTGCCGACATCCTCTCCACCAGCTGAAAGTCTGGGACTAGGGACATCTGAAACACCACAACGCTTGTTCTTATACCGGAAGTTATACGGCCTCTTTACCCATTCACCACCAATCGGCCCTTTCCGTAACCTCAAAGAAGATCTTCGGCTTGTCCCGGAATAACACGAGTTGGTCACGAATGGAATGCTCTCTACAAACGGTATAGCACAAGTAAGGGTGAGGCCTGACTGGCCTTCGGAAGTTGGGATTCTGTAATCTGCAGCATTTTGTTATTGGGTTTTTCATATATAGGACTAGTTATAGGCCAAGGGTCAACCATTTTAGCCCGAGTCTAGCTGAAAATTTGAGTGACCGAAGACGTATAACTAAAACGATATGCAAAACATCAATTTAAGGAATATTTTCTAAATATATGCCAATGAAAATAAAGACCTGTGTATATACATGTATATACACTACCAAGATTATACGTTCACAAATAGCAACAGTCAGGGATCAAGAAATAGCTAAAAGAGACGGGATCCACGCTCTAAGGATGTCTGATAACATCAGTCTGTCGCGTTGTTGTATACTTAGCCGCTCAAAACCCCAATACGCTCACGGGTGCTACTAAACTGGCGTTGTTATGTAAAATGATCCCCTAAATCCAGATGTGTATATTTTTACGTACGTTTTTATTGGATGATTTGGATGATTTCACAGATATCTCAGGGGACCAAGAACAATACATCGACTAGTCGACTAATACAATGTGTGAAAAACATTTCTGGTGTCCCCGCCGTGCTGGAATATTGCTAAAAGCGTCGTAAACCATGCACGCTCACTCGCCCACGCCGCATTTACGTAGTTCGAGTCAAGCTGGAACTCTACCATAATTATAGACCGCCTCCGTGGTGTAGTGGTTAGAGCGTCCGCCCGGAGAGCGTCCGCGGGTTCGATCCCCGACCGCGTCATACCCAAAAACGTTAAAATATGGTACTTGTTGGTCCCTGACTGGCGCTCGGCATTAATGGGTACAAGGACTGGTCAGCTCGGAGTCAGTACAATGTGTCTGAGTGGGGTATTCAAACTTCACTGCGGCATGGTATCTCAGTGGGCTAGCACTATAAGACCAGCTTCAGTCTGGGCTAGTACAAGCAGTCGTACATACACATACACACGCATGCACGTCGTCATATGAGCGAAATATTCTCAAGCACGACGTTAAACCCACTTTCACAAGCTCGACGTTACACCCACTTTCACCTCACCTCACCTCACCATAATTATAACGTTACGTCAGCAGTTGGAACAGTGCTAGAACTGTGTGAAGCTAAGAAGTTGATTCTCTTACCGGCGGGTTGTGGAGTTCGTGGTCCTGCTTCGGTGTGGTCAGGGCTTCTGCAACAGTATAATGAATGTTGCTACAACAATGAAGTCAGCTATATTTCTTCTCTTAAAGGAATGCGTTTTGCATTAATTTACGTTTAACGTTGTTTCCAGTGTGGGTGATATATTATCCCCGGCAGTCTCTATGTACAGCGCTATTTAGATAAAACATACACACATACATATATGCACGCAAGCACGCAAGCACGCACGCACGCACGCACACACACACACACGCACACACACATACATACATATACATACATACATACACACAGAAAAAAGAGGTTTTGCTCATTTAGCAACCACCGTTAACTGAAGTATTGTTGGAGCAGCTAACCCGCTTGTAGACTCTCGTAGTCTTCACATGACTTCACAACGTCGTCTATGGCGCACTTGAGCTCTTCACCTAACTCCCGTATGCGCATCACTATAGACCTATCTGGATCACGACCTTCACTGCCCACACTGCCGGAGTTGGGGCGTGAGTCAATGCCTTCGTCGACATCAGGTCCAAACCGTTTCCGGGTTTCTCTTTGGTCCTTGCGTAATTTCAGTTTGGAAGCTAGCTCCTTATTTGCGCAGCACTGGTCTAAAAACTTCTCCCAAACCTCTCTGTGTATGTCACCTGCGCCATTGTCGTCACTCGCAGCCATTATGGCCCAGTGCTGTCATCAGATTATCTGGGTTTACACCTGAATTGTAAATACAATGTACTTCCGTTAGAGTTTGTCCACATACCCAAGACAAGGTAATGCAGTGTGGAAATTGCCGAGACAATACTGCCAAAATATATGCTAGATTAATCTACGCACTGACAGAAGCTGGGCCAGGCATTTACTAGTTGCATAAGAGACTTACAATATATACTCATGGAAACGAAAAAGGGAACACATGAAAGTACAAGTGTTCCTTTATTTATTTCCAGAATTTCGCCTACAGTGCAATACAAGGTTTGTGAAGAAACCTGGAAAATAATAAAAGAACATTTGTACTTTCATGTGTTCCTTTATTCGTTTCCATGAGTATATCTTTTTTTATTAGTATTGGAAAAAGTTCTGTGTCTACTCTACAATATGGAATGTTCGGAACATCCAAGAATGACACGAGCTAGGAGCTAGTTTGGTTTCTATACATTTTATGTAGAAGCTTATTTAATTATTCGGGGGCTCAGAAAAGAGTTTGTTCAACACCTTCTACGTAAAAACGTCAGGTTGTACAGTTTCATCCAGTAGGTACTATGTAATCCCAAATTGTAGGGTAGGTAAGTGTCAAGGGTCATTCTTTGGTCCTACCTCTACAGGAAAATGCAGGCAAATGTTTGGGAGAATGTTCAACATTGTGTCGCATGTCCTTGTTTGTATCAAACATCATCATTATTAATATTATATAATTCTGTGAAGATAATGCAAACTTACATAACATTTAGTGACACTAGATATTTATGAGAAAAACATATTTGTTGGTTCTAAAAAGGAAATTCTGAAAACGACACTCATTTTAACCTTCCAATGAATAGTTTTCCAATGTAATTGCAATTGTAAAGGAAGATTTTAACAATATAATGCACCTAATTGCAAGCAAATCCAGCATTCTTTAAAGCTGTTAACAACTGATGTTTCTCACAGCCTGTTATGTCTCTGAAAGTATATTTAATGTGAATAAAACAATGACTGGTCCCTTGACTGGCCCATAACACATGTGATGGAACTCTACAGAGAAAACAAGTGAGTTTCTGTCTGTTTGCTGAGAATACATCCGTATGATTCAAGTATGTTATGTCTAATGGTATCATGGTGCTATCAATAATGTATAACAAAAACGACTGAGAGAGTTATTGAGTAAAATAAACCCCAACGTAGGCCGCCTGCTCTTCAAGGGAGACTACTCTCACTGACCCAATAAAAAGGGAGCATTAACTATTTTTCTGTCACTTGTCGGTTTTTCAAGCTATTTAAACAGTAGTCGTATTGCTAATACATTCTTAATGAGTGAGTGAGTGAGTTTTCTTTTTACGCCGCTTTTAGCAATATTCCATTAAAGGGCTTCACACATTGTGCCCATGTGGGGAATCGAACCGGGGTCTTTAGCGTGACGAGCGAACCCTTTAATCACTAGGCTACCCCACAGCCCCACATAGTTAATGATACTTTTGAAGTCATTTGTTTCAGGGCTGATGTGACCTCAGACAAAATGATCAGCACAGATGTAGAGTTCGTTGAGATTTTGGAACCCCCTGTAAGAGGGATAAAGTTTACTGACGTTTACAAATGCATTATTTGCCAAACATCATCAGAAAATGATTGTGATATACACACTTCAAGGACCTCCTGCATCTCAGAATAACAACTGTCCCCAGTCTACAGTGTTGACAGATCTCACTGATCTCATGGATTTAGTGTGTTGTTCGAACCACCGTTTCTTGATGGTGGGGGATTTCAACATACATGTCCATAAATCCCGTAACAAATTAGCTGAGCATTTTCGCAACATTCTCTCCATGGCAAATCAAGTCAAATCACCGACACACAGGAGTGGTCATACCCTGGACCTGATTATCACCAAAGTTGATGATGCTTCGGTCAAGTCAGTCGATGTTGTTGACCACGGGTTTTCTGACCCCATCAGTGTCTTCCGTTCTCTGATTCTGCGTAAGTCGGGTCCCTTACGGAAGTCGATCACTTACAGAAAGACTCGAGACACTGACGTGGACAAATTTGTGATCGATGTCAGGGAGAGTCTCATGAACAGCCCACTTCTTGAGCCTTAATCCGAGGGAACCACAAAGGACAAGGCCTTGGCCTACAATGAAGCACTCATGAAGTTCTGGACCATAATGCACCTCTAAGAAGATCCAATATCTTCATCAGGCCGAAATCTTTCTGGATGAACAATGACATCTTAAAGGCTAAACACGAACGTCGTCGTGCAGAAAAGACCTGGCGAACTACCAAGCTTGAAGTCCATGGGCAAATTTTCCAGCATAATAAGTTTACATTCTGATTCAAAAATCTTAACTGTCTCACATCAAAACCAGCATCAGCGATAACGAGCGGATCCCCAAGCAACCTTTCGCAATAGTGAAAAAGTTGACTGAGGTGAAGGATGAGGACCGCTATTTAAGTGAGTCTGAATCCCGGGAGCGTGCATTCAAAACCCTTCGTTGATTTCTTCACAGACAAGGTTTTACGGATAACAGCTGATATCACAAAACACAAGTCTTCTCAAGATCCTTTACTTCATGACAAGGTGTTAGAATTGACATCTTGAAAATGCAAACGGTGAGCATGCCGCACAACAGCATGTGCATGCGGTGCCAATGTACGACCTTGTTCTTGTTTCTGCATGGGTAACGATGAATGTCATAAACCACGTACAGTAGAGGGGTGATGGAAAGTCCAGCTACAGATGCTTTACACATAATACCACGTGAAATGGAATCCATGTCAAATACCCGCTAAATTGTTGTTCACTTTAACTGTGTATATCAATTCCTTATCGAATGTGACTCAGTTCCAAACATTCATAAAGGAATTGAACTCTGACCCAAAGTTCACTACTTACCCATAACATTTGGAGTGCTAATTTCAGAAGTTCAGATTGTGCATTGCCTATTGTTGTACTGTAAAATGAATGAACTAAACGTTCATAAAATAGGTTCTGAATGTCATATTGTAAAATGTCTATCATGGCCGACAGATACTGCGTCTTGACTGGACTTATATCAAGGAACTATTAAAACACTAATACACTAAAGCACGCTCACCAGTTGCATGTGTGACTTACGCATATCAAAGCAATAACTGGCCATAACGTGTATGTATCATACCGTTTTTATCTATCCCTCCACGTGTGTGTGTGTGTGTGTGTGTGTGTGTGTGTGTGTGTGTGTGTGTGTGTGTGTGTGTGTGTGTGTGTGTGTGTGTGTGTGTGTGTGTGTGTGTGTGTGTGTGTGTGAAATAAACGTAGTTTTTACAATGGGTACCTTTCATTTTACCCACCCTATAATTTGGGATAACATAATACCTAGAAATATTCACTAGGCTCTCCTGGATCAACCCAGTGATCAATAGCATGAGCATCGATCTACGCAACTGAAATACGATGACATGTGTCAACCAAGTCAGCAAGTCTGACCACCCGATCCCATTAGTCGCCTCTTACGACAAGCATGGGTTACTGAAGACCAGTTCTTCTCGTATATTTATAGAATGAACATAGTTTTCACAATGGGTACCTTTCATTTTACCCATCCCATAATGTTCACTTGGCTGTCCTTGATCAAGCTGTATAATCTAAATATATATATTTATAAGTTTGACAGAAGTAAACAATTCCTTTTTAATTGACAAAGAGCCCCGATGGGTTGGGAGATTCCGAACCTGAGAAAATATAGACTTGCTTCAATTAGAGCTTTAGCGCTCCAGAAAGGGCATAGCGGAAGGGAAAGTAACGCGGTTCGGGGACTGCAGCCTTTCATGTACGTGTAGTATGAACAAAACTATTATTATACCTGGCTTTGCTGACGTACTAGTATGTTAAAACTACTTCCTTGTCCTCGACCTATATACCCAGCTATCAGGGTTAATATGTGAGCATTTTTATCATCCTTATCTATAATTATATAATAGACATATACAGGAGTCATCTCTGACTTTACTATGATATTGAATAAAACTATTTTACCTAAAAAACCCACAGCTTCTTCTCCCCGATCGCCTTCCAACGTAACGTGACAAGCTCTAACACAATCATTTATCACTGTATACCTATGAGTACATTTTACTTCCTTGGTATAATACCCATTGAAATCGACCGACTACTTGGGAAGATAATATTCTTACAAGTATCAATGCGCGCCGATTAAGTCCGTCTCTCTAGCTCTCGTCTTCGTTCTTGACGTAAGTAAAGGGGCACTCTCCTACCCAGAGTTCCATGCGGCCAGCATACCTCTGCAACAGGCAACCGCCATTAGAAGACTGGTAACACTACGTTCAAGATATTGGTTATGTTTTTCATCTGTATCATTTTTGACGAATCCACATAAACAAATGTCGAAGAATAGTTTTCTTTCACTGAGAAAATATCCTGAAACATGATTAACCATTTCGATTTGCGTAGTTATCATTTGTTTATATTTGTTGTACGACTCGACGTGCTGTCGTCGAAGCCAATCGGAGAGGTAGCGAGCGATACAGTCATGAATATAAATTGTCATGTACCTCACTGTCGCAGTTGTAGAAGAATATCAATATTACTATGCAAAACAAATTTGTCAAATCTGTCGAAAGAGGAAAGTTTGCCAGAGACCATATCGGTATATGGTGACCGGTTATAAGTCATTTTTATAAAGAAAATAGTTAAGTTATCAGATTTAATATGGTGAGTGAAAATGAATTACTTGTCATTTGTAAATTGTATCGGTCAGTTGCTGAATGTGTCAACCACTGTTATGTAGGCACGGATGACTAAAAGGCGCAGGGTAATTTATTTTTGTTTATTTATATTTAAATACCAACGTAATTTTATGGAAACCCAAAACACAAGCCCAATCGTATATTAATGATTTTTGTTTGTTTGTTGTGTAACACCAAATTCCAGCTATATGGAGGAGGTCTGTAAATAATCGAGTCTGGACCAGGCAATCCAGTGACCTAACGGCAATGTGTTCAAAAGTTGGTAAAACTTACATACTTACTCGTTTCGATGAAAAGACCGGGGAAAGTATAAACAGCGGCAGGCAAACCGCTTATGTACCAAGAGTATACAAACAAACATACAACCTATATGGTGGCTTCACGAATATTCTATAAATACACACCACAAATGGAAATACCCTGGTTATCAAAAAGAACTTCCTCCTGCAGAGATCAGACAATGGCTGCTTGGTGTTTTTCCGTCACGTGGCATAGTCGGTAGATATAAGTAAATCAAAGACATGTCGTCAGGGGTTGTTGATCTGTGTCACGACTGTCGCTATGTAAGGTGAGTCTAACTTCACCATCTTTCTGTGTTATACCCCTGATTTTATATACGACCACACCGCAAGTGTGTGATTTCAAGTGATTAGGCTTGCTGATTGATGCAGTTGCCTTGTATGTACCGTCCTGCCGGTGGTCACAAATTCTTGTAAACAACAACAAGACAATACTATTATTGTTCAGTGAAACACGGGAAAACAAAGGGTTTTTGTCACTGGAATAACCACTACCATGTTTCCTCTAGTAAAGGGGGCTTCACTGGAATAACCACTACCATGTTTCCTCTAATAAAGGGGGCTTCACTGGAATAACCACTACCATGTTTCCTCTAGTAAATGGGGCTTCACTGGAATAACCACTACCATGTTTCCTCTAGTAAAGGGGGTCTTGTCAAAGGGGGTTCACTGGAATAACCACTACCATGTTTCCTCTAGTAAAGGGGGCTTGTCACTGGAATAACTACTACCATGTTTCCTCTAGTAAAGGGGCTTCACTGGAATAACCACTACCATGTTTCCTCTAGTAAAGGGGGCTTGTCTTCACTGGAATAACCACTACCATGTTTCCTCTAGTAAAGGGGCTTGGAATCACTGGAATAACTACTACCATGTTTCCTCTAGTAAAGGGGGGCTTCACTGGAATAACCACTACCATGTTTCCTCTAGTAAAGGGGGCTTGTCACTGGAATAACCACTACCATGTTTCTCTAGTAAAAGGGCTTCACTGGGGGCTTGTCACTGGAATAACCACCACTACCATGTTTCCTCTAGTAAAGGGGGCTTCACTGGAATAACCACTACCATGTTTCCTCTAGTAAAGGGGGCTTGTCACTGGAATAACCACTACCATGTTTCCTCTAGTAAAGGGGCTTGTCACTGGAATAACCACTACCATGTTTCCTCTAGTAAAGGGGGCTTCACTGGAATAACCACTACCATGTTTCCTCTAGTAAAGGGGGCTTCACTGGAATAACCACTACCATGTTTCCTCTAGTAAAGGGGTTTTTGTCACTGGAATAACCACTACCATGTTTCCTCTAGTAAAGGGGGCTTGTCACTGGAATAACCACTACCATGTTTCCTCTAGTAAAGGGGCTTGTCACTGGAATAACCACTACCATGTTTCCTCTAGTAAAGGGGCTTCACTGGAATAACCACTACCATGTTTCCTCTAGTAAAGGGGGCTTCACTGGAATAACCACTACCATGTTTCCTCTAGTAAAGGGGCTTGTCACTGGAATAACCACTACCATGTTTCCTCTAGTAAAGGGGCTTCACTGGAATAACCACTACCATGTTTCCTCTAGTAAAGGGGTTTTTGTCACTGGAATAACTACTACCATGTTTCCTCTAGTAAAGGGGCTTGTCACTGGAATAACCACTACCATGTTTCCTCTATTAAAGGGGGCTTGTCACTGGAATAACCACTACCATGTTTCCTCTAGTAAAGGGGTCTTGTCACTGGAATAACCACTACCATGTTTCCTCTAGTAAAGGGGGCTTGTCACTGGAATAACCACTACCATGTTTCCTCTAGTAAAGGGGGCTTGTCACTGGAATAACCACTACCATGTTTCCTCGATTAAAGGGGGCTTGTCACTGGAATAACCACTACCATGTTTCCTCTAGTAAAGGGGGCTTGTCACTGGAATAACCACTACCATGTTTCCTCGATAAAGGGGCTTGTCACTTAACCACTACCATGTTTCGCTCTAGTAAAGGGGGCTTGTCACTGGAATAACCACTACCATGTTTGCTCTCTAGTAAAGGGGCTTGTCACTGGAATAACCACTACCATGTTTGCTCTAGTAAAGGGGGCTTGTCACTGGAATAACCACTACCATGTTTCCTCTAGTAAAGGGGGCTTGTCACTGGAATAACCACTACCATGTTTGCTCTAGTAAAGGGGGCTTGTCACTGGAATAACCACTACCATGTTTCCTCTAGTAAAGGGGCTTCACTGGAATAGCCACTACCATGTTAACCTTGTCACTGGAATAACCATACCATGTTTGCTCCTAGTAAAGGGGCTTGTCACTGGAATAACCACTACCATGTTTCCTCGAATAAAGGGGCTTGTCACTGGAATAACCATGTGTTTGCTCTAGTAAAGGGGCTTGTCACTGGAATAACCACTACCATGTTTCCTCGAGTAAAGGGGGCTTGTCACTGGAATAACCACTACCATGTTTCCTCTAGTAAAGGGGTCTTGTCACTGGAATAACCACTACCATGTTTCCTCGAGTAAAGGGGGCTTGTCACTGGAATAACCACTACCATGTTTCCTCTAGTAAAGGGGTCTTGTCACTGGAATAACCACTACCATGTTTCCTCTAGTAAAGGGGGCTTGTCACTGGAATAACCACTACCATGTTTCCTGTAGTAAAAGGGGCTTGTCACTGGAATAACCACTACCATGTTTGCTCGATTAAAGGGGGCTTGTCACTGGAGTAACCACTACCATGTTTCCTCGAGTAAACGTTTAATGTTCAAGTGGGCTTGCTTAATAATGGGGTATCAGGAAACAATAACCACAGGGTGCCAATAACATCCGGGCCTCGATTAATGCCGGTTAGTTTTGACATACAGGATTTAGTTGAACACATCGTCTTCAAAAACAAAACTGATTTTTGGTTCGCAGACGTCTGGCTTGAATCATGTAAACATTGTGGGATTAGTTTCTGATTTAATTGTCACAAAAAGTCGCCAGTTCATATTCACATATGGATTTGAACAGCAAGTATTTATCCAAGTCGTCTGAATGAAGATTCTATTGCTTTTTTAGACTTTTCAAAGGCGTTCGACAGCATCCAATTTTAACGTCTGTGGCAAGTCCAAACATTGATTACACAACATTCTCGTTTCCTGCTGACTGGGTTCCGTCCTATTGCGCAACTTAGCACAATAACCAATCCAGAATTTTGAAACCAATTCATTCAACTGGATATATATACATATTAATCAGTATTATTTTATACATCTAAGCACTTGTATATTGCAACACTACGCTCCTTCTAATCCTTGTAAACACGTCGTGCAGCGTGTTCTGTCGTACAGCCTGATCTATGGTGGCTGATTAGGGCCATCGCTTTCTCGCCTTAAAATTCGGAGGCGAGAAAGCGATATCACGAGACGAGAAAGCGACAACACGAGACGAGAAAGCGATAGCACGAGACGAGAAAGCGATAACGCGAGACGAGAAAGCGATAACGCGAGACGAGAATGATATCGCTTTCTCGTCTCGTGATATCGCTTTCTTGCTTTCTCGCCTCCGAATTGTAAGGCGAGAAAGCGATGGCCCTAATCAGCCACCATACGGAAATCGTGGAAATCTCCAAACGAGGCTGGGCCGATAGAAAAGTTTGATTTTATATCAATCACATTGTGCGTTACAACAATACACTGAATAAGCGCAAACAACACATAAAAGGTGTAACCAGTGAGCCAGATGAATTGTGAATCATTATGCGACCTCATAAAACAGGAGCAGTCTGTGACGTCTTAGTAAGGTCATGCTGCCTACACCTCGCCATAAAATATGGAAATACGATGTTATTAAAGTTTCTAAGATGCCTAGCGGTTAGAACAATCGAAAAAAAAAAAATACATTATCAGACAATAAAGGTATAGTTTTTTGATGACCTAACAATTGAATGACGTTATCCCGGCACTGCGCCATTCTAGTGTGCCCCCTCGTAATCGAACCATTTTACATTACGTCACAATGTAAGCGACGTCACGATGCATGTCAGTTGTCAGCGATGACTTAACATAACATGGAACTCTGGGTAGGAGAGTGGAATGTCGCTTGACTACTCAACTTCCTCTGGATGTACTGATCTAAACTTACGCTGGTAGTAGAAATGCAACGTTCATATTGCCCCATATGGTTTACGTTAATGACAGATGTAATTAAAATAATTCAGACAAGATATTTAATCCGAACGTAAACCGTCATCAAACTGTTATCATTTGTTTTTTTCTGGTAACGTTCGTCTTAACGTAGGGGGCAGACACATCAATAGAACAGCGCGCCAGTGAGCCCTGTGCGAGGATTCTTAATTTAGGTCACCGACACCGTCGTTTGTTTCTGCCTTAAATTAATCGTAATTATCTTTAGAAAGTATTAAATTAGGCATCTTAGAAAAGAAATACAGTTCGCCCTACCACCATGTATAGAGTAATAAAACACACTTTCGCCCTGAACTATTATAACGTTAAAGCACTCGGACGCAAGCGTCCTCGTGCTTTAACTATAATAGTTCAGGGCAAAAGTGTGTTTTATTACACTATACATGGTGGTAGAGCGAAGTGTATTTCTTAAATACATGGTGGTAGAGCGAAGTGTATTTCTTAATTAAAATTCAACTTCATTTGTAAATACCATTTTCTTATGAAACAAGGAATTGGAATTCAGTGTAACCATAGTTGTTTGTAGTGTCTCTTTACACTTTCACACGAGAATATTCGTATCGGCTGAAAAGTAGGTCATTGTATGAGTTGGTTAATGAGACTCATGTTTCGGTTTCACAGACTCATTCAATATAGGACCCATTCTATCAGTTTTACGCGACATGTACTCCAAGTGTAAATCATGCATTCGTACTAAAAAAAGTCTCAGACTTTTTCTCATGTTCCATCGGCACCCGTCAAGGATGTATGGTGAGCCCGGTATTGTTCTCGTTAAGGGTCCTTCACACTTATTTCGAATTGACAGGAATCAAGGAGAATCAGCCAGAAATGTTTTTTTCCAAAATTCGAACGGGAGAGAATGTCAAAATAAACAATTTTTTTAAGCTTTGTAAGAATGTTGTTGGAATACTTAGAACGAACTTCGAACCCGTCTCGAATGATTCTTACTCATTCAAAATGTACTAGATCACGAATGCAGCTCGAATGAATCGGAATACAATAGGAATAATTAGAATGCCGTTAGAATAGACTAAGAATACTTAAAATGAATTTCGACTGCCGTACGAGTCCGGTTCGATTGCTGCGTGAATAGCACTCGAATTTCAGTTGGAACGTACCTCGAATGCTGTACGAATTTACATAGAATGCATTCAGAACCCTCTTGGAATGACCCCCAAATATGGATCGAATGTTAAAGAATTAAAAAAGAATGCAGCTCGAATATTTCAAATATCCTTCAAATGCACTTAGAATGTGACACGAATGTCCGAAATGCATCAAGAATGCTGCCGGAATGTTCCACGATGGTGTATAAAAACCTGTTGAATCTGGACTATTCATCAGTCACGGCCCAACTCCCATAGACTATGGGCCACCTGGACCATGTTGCGTTGCTCCAGATTGCTGTCTTCCAGCAAGCCCTGATTGAAAGAGATGTGGAGGAGACCAGGAGAAGGCCCAGGAGAAGACCCAGGAGATTCCAGACCAGACCATGGCTGACAGAGGAAAGGAGGAGGCTGTATGGACATTGCACAAGACTGATGGAGTAGTTCAGAGTTGAGGACACGCAGTCATTCTTCAACTACCTTAGGATGGAGCCTGCCATGTTTGATGGGTTGGTGCAGAAAGTGGGACCAAGAATACAGAAGCCGGATACATATATGAGAAAGTAGCTACCTCCAGTCTTGACACTATAGCCATCACATTGTGGTTCCTGACTTCAGGTGATAGGTACCCAAGCATCATGCCGTAGGAGCTTTAGATGGCAAACAGGTGGCCATAAGAGCGGCTCATTGTACCACAACTACAAGGGCTTCTTCTCTGTGGTCCTCATGTCCCTTGTGCCGGACGTGGACGTTGGTGCTTACGGAAGTATGTCTGATGCTCAGATGTTCAACGAGTGCGAGCTCAAGGATTGCCTTGAAGACGGGAGCATGGGATTTCCTGATCCGTTCCCCTCACCCCAAGATGACGAGCCATGCTTTATTCTGGGAGATGATGCCTTTGGAATAAGGGCTTTCTTGATGAAACCGTCTGGTCATAGGACTCTCCAGAGAGCCGAGAGAATCTACAACTACAGGATCAGCAGGGGTCGACGGGTACTGGAAAATGCATTTGGAATCATGGCTCAGATTTGTCAAATCCTCCTCACCACCATGCTGCCAAGGCCTTCCGTTGTGAAGGACATCACTGAATGCTGGGTCTGCCTGCACAACTTGATGAGGACTCGTTATCCTAATCTCCACAATGGTATGGTGGATGAGGAAGATGAGCAGCACAACGTGGTGCCAGAAGGCGGGAGACAACTTGCGCGGCTTGAAGATGTGAATGATATCTAAAGTTTCAGTGACAGGTGGCTACGTTTTTATGCGATTCGGCTGTTGTTTTCAGAAAAGGAGGAATACTTCGAAGTTACGAAAAGTGGTGTTACAATGGCCAGCTAAATAAATGGAGACTGTTTGAAGCTACAGATATCTTGGACCTTTCTTCTCACCTAAACTTTTATGGACTAAAACGTTACAAGCATTATCAAACCAAGCAGAAAAGACATGTCTTCTGATGTATAAACTACATACCAGAACCGGCGGTGTACCTGTCTCAACAGATAATAGTATGATATTGGTAAAAGTTCAAACTAAATATTTCAAGAGAATTTTGTATTTACAATCTTCAACCAGTAATGATGCCGTTAGAGGAGAGTGTGGAAGATATAGAATATAAATGCATCAAATACTGGTCTAAAAACTTACATATGGACAACGAAAGACTCCCTAAACAGGCTGACAAAAAAACTGGCTGATGTCTGCAGATCTTCATGGGTTACCAAGGTTAAAGATGTACTTTTCCAATATGGATTTTGATATGTATGGATGTGTCATAACGTCAGACATACAGATGCCTTGAAGAATGATGACAAGATTTTATGGACGTTTCGACAAAGATTCTAATGTCGTTGCCAAACACGTGTTTTCAAGCAAGACAACGACATTAGAATCTATGTCGAAATGTCGCCTTTCACAATAAAAGAAGTTTGTATATCCATAAAAATTGTCATCGTTCTTCATGAACTCAACTTCTAGAATGGCCATCAACATGTCATAGCACCAAATTCAAAAACAAGCATTCCGTCATTCACATTACATTGTTACAATTTATGATACAGATCAATTTCCCTTAAGTAGTTCAAAATGAGGTGCCCGCTCGGGAAGATGGATCTATCATATTTAACGCTGCATAATGTGAGTCCCCTCGTGGTTGAAAAGTCCACACAGGAAAGCAGTATATAATTGATCACAAAAGACACACATAGGAGGTCCATCGCCATCCCTTTTTGAGCAGACCGTCATGAATAAACCTCATCACGTCTTGACTGACAACCCAAATAGGTATAACCGATTGTTGGTTTCAGTTCGTGAGGTTTATTTCGTCCTATATGTCCCACCTTTTGTACCCGCAGGGCTACCTAAATGTACTTGGTACAAAGGGACATGTAATATGGCATAACACTGTCCCAGTGTGTACTGATTACAATTTTATATGTAATGTGACACAGTATATAACTAAAGTATGTACTGTTTACGAATATAAATTACAGTGCACTCTGTCTAATTCGGACCAGCTTGGGACCGACTAAAAAAGTCCGAATTATACAGTAGTCCGAAGTACACAGATTTTAATGGAGTTATCTCCCTTTGACGATCATACGATTGCGCATGAAACACATGTTACATGAATGCGTATAAAGACGAAACATTGACAAAGAACATGTACATTTGTTTATTACATACTGGCATATAAAAGCTTCAGTTTGTGAAGAAATCAGTCATCAAAGACTGTGAGTGACTTTTGTACTAGCACAAAAGTGTACATCGATTACGACTGTACAGTCATGCAGCATGGTTGTTATGAAGAGTTAAAGTATGTTCTAGTTACGGATTTACATGTACACGTATATCTTGAAACCCAAAACCAGAAGTACCCGTAAAGATCCGGGTTAAAATTGGTCTCCAGCAACCTATACTTCTTGTGAGAGGCGACTAACGGGATCGGGTGGCCAGACTCGTTGACTGGGTTGACACATGTCATCGTATCCCAGTTGCGTAGATCGAACCGCATGTTGTTAATCACTGGATTGTCCGGTCCAGACTATATTATTTACAGGCCGTCGCCCTATAGCTGGAATATTGCTGAGTGCGGCGTTAACCAACCAACCAATCAAAACCTGAAACGATACAAAGACGTGTTGCTATGACACCAAACCTCATATCTGAATTACATAATCACCCCTGATGATAACAAGATTTTTAGCGTAAACACGAAGTTCCGCATACATTAACATAAGACCGCACGTAGTGTTGATCGTAAGTCAGAACCATGCATAAAATCGGCCAATATCATATTCAGAACAATTTCAGAGAAATGCGATGGGACAAGACATTTCATTGATGACAATTAACGCAAACGAAGCTCACTGTCGTCTGTCTTCAAAGAGTCACGTGGGCTGTTATAGGATTCAAAATGTCACGTGGGTTTCCACAGCATTCGTACACGGTGACAAATGGGTTTTTTCTGACAGGACTGTGTGGAGATTACGACCAAGACATCCGCGATTCATTGACACATTTTGAGGAGAAGTTTGTAGAGACGATCTTGTCTAGGTGTCGCTTTTTAGACTATAAGAATAGATGTCATTGCAACATCTACGTGCTTGACTGTACTTGTCCCACAGTCGAGAATTTGTTTTAGCGGTCTCATGTTTAGTTTTCTCAATCCCATTGAGTGACAAGAAAACATATTTACATCATATTTATACGGATGCATGTACAATTTCTGCTTAGCATATTGCCTTGCAACATTCTAGTAGTCAATTTCACCTTTATGTCGAGCTGTTTTCCAGTCTTTCAGTATCTACATTTCACAACTTTAATCAAGTAGGCCTTTTCTAGGAAGCTTCGCAAGTGCCTCATACCTACTTGCTCAAAATGTGTATGATAATGATTACAACATACAAGATTTATTTAGCTTTTCAAAAAATGATTTCGAAATTTCAAAATTTCTTATGAATATGCATAGGGTTTGTCGCCTATATGTACTTCCTGATTCTGGTTTATGTTACGACAGTGTGAGTGAGTTTGGTATTTTATGAGATTCTGGTTTATGTTACGACACAGTGAGTGAGTGAGTTTGGTTTTACGCCGCTTTTGGCAATATTCCAGCAATATCACCAGAAATGGGCTTCACATATTTTACCCATAGGGAGAATCGAACACGGGTCTTCGGCGTGACGAACGAACCCTGTAACCACTAGGCTATCCCACCGCCCCTGTTGTCCCATAAAATAGGTTTAAATATATACGTCAGTGGTCTACAGGCTCCTAGTGCCTTTATCGAGTTCTTTTCGAGTTAATTATATACGTGAAAATGAGGTTTCACAATGAATATGATTGTTTGGTTATAAAGACCAGCTGTGTTTATTTTGACTCTGGATAGATGTGAATGAGTATACCTATTTGAGTATACCTATTTGAGTATACCTATTCGAGTATACCTATTTGACAGCGACATTATATTTAGGTTGTTGCTTTTGATCTGAAACAGTGACTAAAGTCTGACCCAGAGTTCTCCGACGTGGTTTAAAACGTGTTTTTTGTGTGTTTCAAACTCAAAAGAAAGTCTACGGGGTGTTGAATCCCAGATTGAATGAATGATGGGAGATAACTCTTAATCCCATGTGTGTCAACATATATAGGAGGTGAAGGAAGCGCTCGTAATATATGGTCAGTTTGGATCTGTTCATTTAACAAAGCATCACAATACTCGTTGAATAAGAAAAAGACGTTACGTTTTGGAAAAAATAAATCAACACAAAGTGCCTGATAGATCTGTAAAACAGGTTTGTGTGTACTATGCGTGTTCAAATATAAGCGTTGAAGCAGTATTTTAAAGGCTATAGCAGGTAAAAACAATTTACTGTAACAGTCTCTTCAGTTATGCCTTTCAGTTTCGGTAAGTATGTGTACAACCGTAGTATCATGCGCTCTATAAGATAAGCTCTGGTTTCTTGGTTCTCAAGTTTAAAAATCAGAACCGTTGCCCCTAATCATGCCCTCACCACACGTGGTACTTCTACCCCTACCCTACTCCTTCTGCCTTACATCGAAGCCTATCCCTACCATAACCCCCACCCCTACCCCTACATCATCCCACGCCCCTCTGTTCACCCCGAACCGCCCCAAACTCTATATTTTGGCTGGCTTCCTCTTCACTGCCGCCCGCTTTTCCTCCAGCTTCTTCAGTTTCTCTTCCCTCGCCTGAAGCTGGTACTCCGCCTTCATTTTCTTGATGAACTCGCGACGTTTCTTCTCGTCCTTGACAGCTTTGTGCTTTATTTCCCTGTCCAGTTGTTTCCTTTGTACTTGTTCCACCAACCTGAATAAAATCGTGGTAGTAATGTTCACTCAATGAGATTCATGCCTCATTTATGAATGATTTTGTCTTTTGTAGAAGAAATATATGTCTAATGCAGTTTATATATAAATACAATATGAGTCCAGATATTTCTTATTGCCAAATCTCCTTTATATCTACACAAGATCTTTCGCCGTTCAACGGCTCTTCACTGAAGTGTACAATGAATCATTCATTGCCGTTTAACGGCGAAAGATCTTGTGCAGATATAAAGGAGATTAGGCAAGAAGAAATATCTGGACTCATATTTTATATATTTATTGCTTATACACCTGCAGAAATCACGTGTGTGTGTGTGTGTGTGTGTGTGTGTTGTGTGTGTGTGTGTGTGTGTGTGTGTGTGTGTGTGTGTGTGTGTGTGTGTGTGTGTGTGTGTGTGTGTGTGTGTGTGTGTGTGTGTGTGTGTGTGAACATTTCTTCAGAAAATGGCCAAAGATGTGATTCTTTCTCTGACTGTGATTTGTTATTTTCTTGAAACATTATCTTTATAACAAGCAGTGACATATAATATCACAAAGAACCTACTTATCATATCTGAAGACATCCGCTATGATTTGTTTCTCTTCAGCGGTATAGTGCCCTCGGAATGGGATTTCCCTAGGACGATGGGGAGCTTTTCCACGGGGAACGACCCCCATCCCGGCGGGGACAAAGAAGGCCACTCCTCCGCTGGTCTGACGGTCGAGGACCAATCCCTCATCCTGCAGTTGTTGAAGAACCTCCGTCTCCTGACAGACGGGATGTGGACGGTGTCACCTGGCACTGGGCGTAGTCCAGCTGGAGAGGACAGTTGTTCTTGCTTGTCAGACCATTTTCAGCAAATTTCTGCTTCAAAGGTTTAACCTTGGTCTGTTTGCATCCCATTTTGGAAACATCCACATGCCAGTGACGTTTTGAGTCTAGTCCGAGTTTCTACCACAAGATTGGTAGAACAATAACACGGCGATCAGATACCCACTGGATGACACGCCACAATGAATGACGCCATGGATGACAATCTGCAAGATACAATGGATAGCACAGTTGATGACGCAAAGAATGACACAATATCTGAAATAACGGATGGTATACTAGACGATACAATGAATAACACAGGTGAAGACACAGAATGATGATGACGTAAAGAATGACACAATATCTGAAATAACGGATGGCATACTAGACGATACAATGAATAACACAGGTGAAGACACAGAATGATGATGACGTAAAGAATGACAATAATATCTGAAATATTGGATGGCATACTAGACGATACAATGAATAACACAGGTGAAGACACAGAATGATGATGACGTAAAGAATGACACAATATCTGAAATATTGGATGGCATACTAGACGATACAATGAATAACACAGGTGAAGACACAGAATGATGATGACGTAAAGAATGACACAATATCTGAAATATTGGATGGCATACTAGATGATAAAATGAATAACACAGGTGAAGACACAGATTGATGATGACGCAAAGAATGGCACAATATCTGAAATATTGGATGGCATACTAGACGATACAATGAATAACACAGGTGTAGACAAAGAATGATGATGACGTAAAGAATGACACAATAACTGAAATAATGGATGGCATACTAGACGATACAATGAATAACACAGGTGAAGACACAGAATGATGATGACGTAAAGAATGACACAATATCTGAAATAACGGATGGTATACTAGACGATACAATGAATAACACAGGTGAAGACACAGAATGATGATGACGCAAAGAATGACACAATATCTGAAATAACGGATGGCATACTAGACGATACAATGAATAACACAGGTGAAGACACAGAATGATGATGACGCAAAGAATGACACAATATCTGAAATATTGGATGGCATACTAGACGATACAATGAATAACACAGGTGTAGACACAGAATGATGATGACGCAAAGAATGACACAATATCTGAAATAATGGATGGCATACTAGACGATACAATGAATAATACAGGTGAAGACACAGAATGATGATGACGCAAAGAATGACACAATATCTGAAATAACGGATGGCATACTAGACGATACAATGAATAACACAGGTGAAGACACAGAATGATGATGACGCAAAGAATGACACAATATCTGAAATATTGGATGGCATACTAGACGATACAATGAATAACACAGGTGAAGACACAGAATGATGATGACGCAAAGAATGACACAATATCTGAAATAACGGATGGCATACTAGACGATACAATGAATAACACAGGTGAAGACACAGAATGATGATGACGCAAAGAATGACACAATATCTGAAATATTGGATGGCATACTAGACGATACAATGAATAACACAGGTGAAGACACAGAATGATGATGACGTAAAGAATGACACAATATCTGAAATAATGGATGGCATACTAGACGATACAATGAATAACACAGGTGAAGACACAGAATGATGATGACGCAAAGAATGACACAATATCTGAAATAATGGATGACATACTAGACGATACAATGAATAACACAGGTGAAGACACAGAATGATGATGATAACGCAAAGAATGACACAAGGAAATCACAATGAATAACACAGGTGAAGACACAGAATGATGATGACGCAAAGAATGACACAATATCTGAAATAATGGATGGCATACTAGACGATACAATGAATAACACAGGTGAAGACACAGAATGATGATGACGCAAAGAATGACACAATATCTGAAATAATGGATGGCATACTAGACGATACAATGAATAACACAGGTGAAGACACAGAATGATGATGACGCAAAAGAATGACACAATATCTGAAATATTGATGGCATACTAGACGATACAATGAATAACACAGGTGAAGACACAGAATGATGATGACGCAAAGAATGACACAATATCTGAAATAATGGATGGCATACTAGACGATACAATGAATAACACAGGTGAAGACACAGAATGATGATGACGCAAAGAATGACACAATATCTGAAATAATGGATGGCATACTAGACGATACAATGAATAACACAGGTGAAGACACAGAATGATGATGACGCAAAGAATGACACAATATCTGAAATAATGGATGGCATACTAGACGATACAATGAATAACACAGGTGAAGACACAGAATGATGATGACGCAAAGAATGACACAATATCTGAAATAACGGATGGCATACTAGACGATACAATGAATAACACAGGTGTAGACACAGAATGATGATGACGCAAAGAATGACACAATATCTGAAATAACGGATGGCATACTAGACGATACAATGAATAACACAGGTGAAGACACAGAATGATGATGACGCAAAGAATGACACAATATCTGAAATAATGGATGGCATACTAGACGATACAATGAATAACACAGGTGAAGACACAGAATGATGATGACGCAAAGAATGACACAATATCTGAAATAATGGATGGCATACTAGACGATACAATGAATAACACAGGTGAAGACACAGAATGATGATGACGCAAAGAATGACACAATATCTGAAATAACGGATGGCATACTAGACGATACAATGAATAACACAGGTGTAGACACAGAATGATGATGACGCAAAGAATGACACAATATCTGAAATAACGGATGACGTACTAGACGATACAATAAATAACACAGGTGTAGACACAGAATGATGATGACGTAAAGAATGACACAATATCTGAAATAACGGATGACATACTAGACGATACAATGAATAACACAGGTGAAGACACAGAATGATGATGACGCAAAGAATGACACAATATCTGAAATAACGGATGACATACTAGACGATACAATGAATAACACAGGTGAAGACACAGAATGATGATGACGCAAAAGAAAAAGAATGAAATAATGGATGGCATTAATCACACAATGAATAACACAGGTGAAGACACAGAATGATGATGACGTAAAGAATGACACAATATCTGAAATAACGGATGGCATACTAGACGATACAATGAATAACACAGGTGAAGACACAGAATGATGATGACGCAAAGAATGACACAATATCTGAAATAACGGATGACATACTAGACGATACAATGAATAACACAGGTGAAGACACAGAATGATGATGACGCAAAGAATGACACAATATCTGAAATAACGGATGGCATACTAGACGATACAATGAATAACACAGGTGTAGACACAGAATGATGATGACGCAAAGAATGACACAACATCTGAAATAACGGATGGCATACTAGACGATACAATGAATAACACAGGTGAAGAACACAGAATGATGATGACGCAAAGAATGACACAATATCTGAAATAATGGATGGCATACTAGACGATACAATGAATAACACAGGTGAAGAAACAGAATGATGATGACGCAAAGAATGACACAATATCTGAAATAATGGATGGCATACTAGACGATACAATGAATAACACAGGTGAAGACACAGAATGATGATGACGCAAAGAATGACACAATATCTGAAATAACGGATGGCATACTAGACGATACAATCAATAACACAGGTGTAGACACAGAATGATGATGACGCAAAGAATGACACAATATCTGAAATAACGGATGACATACTAGACGATACAATAAATAACACAGGTGAAGACACAGAATGATGATGACGCAAAGAATGACACAATATCTGAAATAACGGATGGCATACTAGACGATACAATGAATAACACAGGTGAAGACACAGAATGATGATGACGCAAAGAATGACACAATATCTGAAATAACGGATGACATACTAGACGATACAATGAATAACACAGGTGAAGACACAGAATGATGATGACGCAAAGAATGACACAATGGAAATCACAATGAATAACACAGGTGAAGACACAGAATGATGATGACGTAAAGAATGACACAATATCTGAAATAACGGATGGCATGCTAGACGATACAATGAATAACACAGGTGAAGACACAGAATGATGATGACGCAAAGAATGACACAATGGAAATCACAATGAATAACACAGGTGAAGACAGAATGATGATGACGCAAAGAATGATCTGAAATAATGGATGGCATAGACGATACAATGAATAACACAGGTGAAGACACAGAATGATGATGACGCAAAGAATGACACAATATCTGAAATAATGGATGGCATACTAGACGATACAATGAATAACACAGGTGAAGACACAGAATGATGATGACGCAAAGAATGACACAATGGAAATCACAATGAATAACACAGGTGAAGACTAAAGAATGACACAATATCTGAAATAATGGATGGCATGCTAGACGATACAATGAATAACACAGGTGAAGACACAGAATGATGATGACGCAAAGAATGACACAATATCTGAAATAATGGATGGCATACTAGACGATACAATGAATAACACAGGTGAAGACACAGAATGATGATGACGTAAAGAATGACACAATATCTGAAATAATGGATGACATACTAGACGATACAATGAATAACACAGGTGAAGACACAGAATGATGATGACGCAAAGAATGACACAATGGAAATCACAATGAATAACACAGTTGAATACACAAAGAATGGTACACTTCATGACAACAAATGTCACGATGGATGTGACCGTAGAAAATACAATGAATAACACAACCGAAGACCCAGAGGGTGTTTAACGGGATGATAATGAATGTCACGATTAATGAGACAATGGAAAATATAATGTATAACACAAATAGATGGAAACTTCAATGTATAACACAAGAGAATACGCAAAGGATGATAAACGGGATAGCAATGAATGTCACGATGGATGAGACAATGGAAAATACAATGTATAACACATATAGATGGAAACTACAATGTATAACACAAGAGAATACGCAGAGGATGATAAACGGGATAGCAATGTATGTAACGATGAATGAGACAATGGAAACTACAATGTATAACACAAATCAAGACACGGAGGATGATAAACGGGATAGCAATGAATGTCACGATGGATGAGACAATGGGAACTACAATGTATAACACAAATCAAGACACAGAGGATGTTAAACAGGATAGCAATGAATGTCACGATGGATGAGACAATGGGAA